TTAATCGATAATCTCAATTGCTTCATTTAATATTATCAAATATGATCGAAGCTATGAAATTGTAATTAATTAATTAGGCAATAATAATATTATTACATAATACTACATATATATATATTTAGTCAATTAATAATAATATTGTTCTATTATATTCACGATCAATTGCGAATACTTTCACTTTGTGTAACGATGTAACAAAATGTAAACATCCGTTCGCTTCCATGTAAACATGAGCGCGAATTAATATCGCTCATATATGATGGATGGCTAAATCGCAGAATTAATACAGAAATTAACATGCATGTTAAATTACGAACAAACTTCACGAGAACCGCAAAGCCCGCGCGTTTGAAGCATTATAATCTAATCGATCGAGATATTCGAAAGAATTGCATAATCGCGCCAATTGCGTTTCTCGCGCATTTATCCGCATTTATCGAAACCGCATTGACGTACATTCGACACAGCTTTGTTACATTCATTCACTTTTACGTGAGTAAATTTTTCTACAATCTACTATGCATAATGAAAGAAATATTAAAAACAAGAATAAAGATTAAATTTAATGAAATAATAAAATTAGAAATATATAGAGACATAAACGAAACACAATAAATACAAATAATATATAAGACATGTTATGTATCATGCCTTATGTATATTTATTATGCGTTACATAAGTTATGTTCAATTTCTATTCCTAATTTTTTTATTTCTCTAATATAATCTAAAATAATCTAAAGAAGTTCAGATGTGAAATTTTTTTTAGAGAACAGCTACGATAACATTGTATTTTTGCATCCCTGATTTCAATTAATCAAATGGTATTGTCCACGCTTCTCAATTTGCTATAGCAAACAATAACATTCCGCGATGCAACAAACAAAACGCGACAATAAACAATCATGCATTTTAAAAAGTTTATTTAGCGGGAGAGAACTTTTGTTATTTATCGTTAATATAAAAAAACCTATACATAAATTGTACTACAGTTTACATTTACGATAAATTAAATTTTAAGAAAATGTAACTTCTGTGTTAAAAAAAACTTTTTACAAGAATATATTTTTATTAATATATTATCTCATTAATATTATCATTAATATTATCATGTCAATGCAATATGATGCGTAAAAGTAAACACATTTTCAGACTCCATTGTTTCCTCTTTGTCCATCTCGCTAACAACACGGAAACAAGACCAAAATTATTAGTCTCGAGGGCACACACATACACACATTAGTAACTTTATAGAAAAGGGGCAAACAAAGCAACGGATGGCGGGTGAAGTGGAGACTCATAATTAAGTTGTTAACTAATGGGAAACATCGCAAGCAAATAAGTGTGCGCGACACTACGCACAAATTGGTGTAAGGCATTCACGTGTCCCTTCTCAAACAGGAAACGTCATCTTCTACACGTGTAAAAAGTGTGGAAATTTTTTTTTCCTAGTAAGCGATTAAATTGAATTGCTATTTCTATCGATATTTTGCAGTCACGCTTAATAAACGTCAAATCAAATTGGCAAAATCATTTAGTTATTGTTGAAAAGAAAAAAATCCAGATAAAATTTTATTATATGAAAGTAAGATAAAAATATAACCAATCAAATTTTTGTATAGATATAATTTCTTGTAGCATTTGCACAAAGATTATATAATACTTTTTTATGTGTCTATATTACATTTATTGTACAATTGATCTTGCGCATGCAAAAATGTATTGATATCTTTAATTAAAAAAGCATAATAAATCTAAAGAAAAATGTAAACTTGATTATTTAATTAAATAAGACACGATATAGATCTTATCTTTTTCAGCCATTCTAACATCTACGTTACATCATAGTCGACTCGTTGCGTATAATTAATATAACTTATATAATATTTCCGCATAAAAACGTGGAAGTTCATCTGAAGGAAGGAGTGTGTTTTGAGTGATTTAAAAAGCTAATATCGCATAGCGCAATATTAAAAAAAAAATGTTCCAAAGTAATATTAATCGTGAGAATGTTATCAGATTTTTATTCGCAAAGCAAGATTCAAAGAGATCTTAAACTCCGCCAAGTATATTAAGATTTGTTATATTGAACCATATACAATTTTCACTTTATCTCGCGCTAAATTTATCTCGACATTTGCACGTGTATTTCCGTGTGAAAAATAAGACGAGTGAAATAAAAAACAAGAAGAACGGCAAAGTAAACTTTCTCTCTCAAAAATATTATCACATTAAATATTAATAAAAAACATTAATAATTGAAATGTCCATATATTTTCGAACAAATTTAATCAAAAAAATTTACTTGTATCCGCTGATATAGTAAATGCATTATCGTTTATGATATTAAACATGTATCAGCATAAATGCCAAATTAACAAGCAAAATAAATAGCCAATTCTGATTTTTTTAATTTTAATAGAATTTTTTAATATCTACTCTCTACTACAAATAGTCGTTTAAAAAAATGACGAAAGAGGTTCTCATTGAAGAGATTCTTCACAATCATTTTATATTTATTCATATTTATGTAGTAATAAAAAAATACATTTTTATTGAAGTTGTAGATCAAAAGATACAAAATGTCGACAAATAAAAACCAGCGCGCCTCGACTTTCTTTCGCTCACTCATTTCTAGAAATATAAAAAATACAAAAAATCCGTCAGTAATATTTTTACACAAGTCTGTATTTTAATATGTTGAAGGCATATACGGATATGAAATGTTATAAAAACAGACTAAAAAAAGAGTGAGACAAAGAGGAGAATAACCGTTATTAACAAGAATTTCAATTTGTCCTCTGATGTACCTGTCTTTTCGACCATCATCAATCAGCCACGTAAAACATTCCGAAAAACAATCAAACGGTGGAAATTGAATGTTCGATTGACGTTCAGTTCACAGCTCTATTTCTAGCGCCCTTGCATCTGCTAGTAATTTATCGATATGGACACGATCATTAAAGGATCCTATACTAATTACATGGAAAATTAGATCCCGGTGAAATAAGTTAGTTTTCACATATAATGTAGTTCGTAACGTAATGAACAAAAGATGTCATATACACAAGGCTGAGTGATAGATAGTTTTTGAGCTATAGTGTATCAAAGATGTAAAACTTCATAGAACATCTTTGATACATCATAGCTAAAAAATTATCCATTATTGAGATCTTATGTTCATCATATTATGGAGCCTTGTGTCTATGACACCTTTTGTTCATCACATTATGGAACCTTGTGTCTATGACATTTTTTGTTTATCACGTTCCAAGCTATAAAAAATAATATATATTATTATAATGAAGACTAACTTCGTTTCAGTTTTAGTTGAACACTCTTTTAGGAAGTTGAGGCGCAGTGATTTTTATTTGTATTTTTGGATCTGTGACTTTAATAAAAGTGTTTTTTTTTTATTACTACATAAATGTGAATAAATATAAAATAATTATGAAGAAACATTATCTCTCCAACGTTCGTAACTTTTTTAATGACTTTATTTGTAGATATTGAAAATTTAAATTAAAATTAAAAATCAGGATTAACTATTTCAATTATTTCACCGGAATCTAACTTTCCATATATATATGCGGAATCCTCTAATTCGAAATAAAATATTCAAAATACAGCACTGAAAGTAGAAAAAAATAGCACATACTCCGGAAAACAATTATACACAATGCTAAACAAAAACGATATTGATATCCAATTATTAGGTGTTAAACTTAATTCCTACCGTTTTTCGTCTCCAAAATTGATTTGTTTCAAAGGGAAATACCTTAATCAAAGTATTATTAATAAAGTATTATTAATTAGTAATAAAGTAGAAAATTGAGGAAATTACTTTGATTAAGGTATTCATTCATTTTCCCTTCGAAACAAATCAATTTTAGAGATGAAGAACGGCAGGAATTAAGTTTAACATCTAATAAATATAACCAGCTGTTTCTAAATGAACTATAAAGATGATATTCGTATATTTCAGCTGCCTAAACAAACACGATAAAAAACAATTCAATATAATAAAAATACAACTATATGTATATGTGCAACAATTTCTGGCATTTTAATATAAGTCTCCTATAAATTTAATTTAATTATCATTACAAAAAAAATTAATACATAACAAAAGCAATTTTATATATTATCATAAAATATTTCCATCTTTTTTTTCTTTAATGCTTGTGTATATAGTATAAACAATTTTAAGTCAAAAACATAAAATACAATAATTATGGCATTAATTATGTATGACACATGTATATAGATATATGCGTTGATCGCACATACAATGACTGCCAAGTTTGTGGTCAACACTAATCTTACGATAATCATTGTTAATCTATTCTTCAATTAATATTATAAGTTAATAAAATTTGTATTACACAATCAACTTAAGAACATAATATTTAAAATACTAAAATAAGTACTCATATAATAGATTTTTATTTGTAAAGATTTTTTCTATAAATAATATAATTAAATTGATCGGAAACTTTTGGCAGCTGTTGTATTTTATTTCATTGTATACTGTCTAAATCTTTTGGAGTAAAAAGCGAGCCAGTCTTGAAAAAAAAATGAAAATTTTTCACTCTTAAACAACAATAATGGCAGATTTTTATTCTTCTCTCTATTTGTACTCCAAAAGAGTGAAATTTTACTCCAAAAGAATGAAATCTCACTCCTAAAGAGTGAAAATCTGTCACTGTTGTTCGAAAGTAAAAATATTTTCTTTCTTGTTTCAAGACTGGCTCAATTTTCAGTCTTTTGGAATAAGCTGATTTCACTCCAAAAGATTTAGAGAGTATAATCGTCCAGATAACGAAGAAGGAGGGAGGGGAGGGGTGAAACATTTCCTAGATACATGCGGGATCAAAATTCGTATTGAATTTTCGCTCGGAGGCGAAATTAATTCCCAGAACGCCGCTGCCCTACAACGCCATTTCCACCCTCTTCGCCACCTTGACATTGGCGGAATTGGGGGCAGACGATAAGCTCACCTGCTGCATCGGATACGCTGTGCTACCGACGAAAAGGTCCCATGCCCACGCGAAGATCCGCGCGCAAATGTGCATTGACGTCACCGCCACCTTATAAAGCCCACTGCTGCCTGTACCAGCGGCAGCACTCCCTGCGCCTCCGCGATTATTACAGCCTCGCGGACGCACCGATACACCACCCGGAAACGGCTCACATCTTCACGAATGATCGCACCTCACTATCGCCTCCCGCTCTCGCGCGTAATCCGAGATTATTGATCACCCACCCGATATCGATCACGACGAGTGGGCGCGGTGACCGCGAAACGCGTCCTCGGACGAAATCGACAGGTACCTTGGCATGATGGATTCGGTAACGGCCACTACACTGATAATACGATTCTCCAAAAGTTTCCACTATACTCGATTATCTCGATTACATCGCCCGATTACGCGCGGCATCGACCGGCAACTCTCCGCGACAACGTTCCGGCGATTCACTGCCACGAAAACTGCTGCGCGTCACGTCCCGTCGCGATAATCGCCGCCGTTCACTCCGCCGCAAACTTCACACGCTCCAAACGCGTTCGTTTTCATTCAGCTTCTCAGATCGATAGCAGTTTCGTTTTCAACGACTTCTCGCGTTGCAAGATACTTAAAGAAAGTCTTTCTCTTTCGCCGTCTATTCACGTGAAGTCTAATTCACATGAACAATGATGCGTTTGTTTCAAATACGACAAATGAGCGGCGATGGAGCACTGACTGTACGCGTTGCGAGAATGGCTGTTTTTTATTTTATTATTAGACTGTGCACTCTCTTTCTCGTCTTCGCCAAATATTAAACATATATCTATCTCACTTTAAATTCCAAAAATATATACAAGTTCAGTCACAGAAAACAAACCTAAAATATCACTCTCGCGCACCCAACGGTCTCGTTGAATGTTGTTGTCCGATAACGAGAGACAGGAAGAATGGTTATCTCGGTTGAAAAACTGTAGCCATTACGAGAGCCACGTACCATTCACCCCGGCACAAGGACGTCTTGTTGGTCTTGTCTGCGAATACGGCGCGTACGAACTACTTGTTGATCAGCGCCCCTGAGACTAACTGCCTGCGCACGATCCGCACTTCACCGTGAAGTTGGCGCCAACTCCGGCACGTTGACCACTAAACGCGTGAATAATTAACTGTCGCAGCTGTCCATTAATTCAAATTGTCGTTCGATGAGGGAGGGAATGATCTCCTTACTTCCTCGTGACAATACGAGCATCACGACTGACAGCTGTTATCATGACAAAAATATTCAATTCAATTCGTTGGCACTGTTTCGGTAGAATAGCGCACAAAAAAAACGTACCGATGGCCGAAACGAGTTTGTAAGAGATAATAGATACAGTGAGTGCAAAAAGTATTTGCAAAGAGAAAATATTTAAAAGAAAACTTATTTTTTAAAAGTACATATTAACTAGCAATTTTTTTATTAATAAAGAATTAAATAAACTGTATATTTCTCAAAATTTTTTATTTTACCTGAAAAGATATGTAATAATTAAAATATATTATCTTAAAAATAAACGAAAATGAAAAATCGTATTGAGCTGGGAAATAAGTTCGTTCGGTTTTATTAATTCAAAATTGTGTATACAATATTTTTTTGTTACGAATGGACAAAATTTAAATTTAAAAAAGAATTTTAAAGCGTGAAATCTCTGCTTTTTAAAAGTTCACTATATTTTTTTGAGTTTATGTAAATTTGATAATTTTTACATACCTATAGAAAACTACGACCTAAAAAAAAATGGAAAAATTTTTTTTCTCACTTTATGGACCTGCCACGTGCTCAAAAAAAAATTGTACAAATTTTCGACTATCTAATGTGAAAACTTAAACTTTTCCCTAAAAATTCGTTTTTAAAAAATGATCCTGCTATTTATTGAATTACTTAAGAGTCGTGTAAAAAATTATTCTGACTTTGATTGCACATATAACTCTGTTAAAAAACATCGTACTATAATTAAAAAAATAAATTCTTAAAGCTAAAACACTGCTCTATAAATAATTTTAAAATTTATTTTATATTTCGAAAAAATTATGTTTTATTCCATCCTAAAAAATCGAATGAACTTATTTACCAACTCAATATTACTTGAATTCACAAAAAATATTTGTATAAATTCGAGAAATTTAAATTCTAAGACTGGTATTAATTCAGAATCGATTCTTACATTTAAAACCGTAATATCTTAGGTACAGTCTTAAGATATCGTAAGCCAATCATAAGACTCTATTAGCATCTTAAAAGCTTACTTAAGACGGTCTTAGAAACGAACTATGAATACCGTCTTAAAATCAGAAATACACGCAGCTCTTTTGTTTATATTAGGTATCATAACGTATTCATTGTATATACATATAAAATGTTAATTAATGTCAATTTTCTACAAATTGTATAAATTTGTTTCCTATACGAATACTTTTTGCACTCACTGTAAGGTAATATCCATTTAACGTTGCAAATATTCTTTCATTGGTCAATTCATAAATTTTTTTTTTCTGATTGGTCAATGAAGAATTTGCAGCATTAAATAAACCGCACCTCTGAATGAGAAACGTTGCAATGATCAAAGTGATAGAAAGTTACGTAAAAAGATCCGGCCGTACGAATCGAGTTTTTGGCATACGACCTACGCTGATCATTAATCAACGAATATCGCGTGTCACAACGGTGTATACATGATTGTCCGATTATTCGGGAGGTATCCCACACTTTACCGTCTACACCGATAATATTGATGATAAACGTGCGGAAGTCCGAACGTGCAAAATCCTTCGGCAAACCGTGCTGCACACAATTCCGGGGATGCGGAAATCGTGAAAAGCGATTTTCGTGTAACACGACGCAACGAATTCCCACCGTCTCTTTCTCTCGGTCGATCCGCACAGGTGGTACCGCGACACGCTCCGACGAGAGACCGAGCGATACTGAAACTGAAACCTGAAACATGGAATCGCACGCGCGTGCTTAGACGCGCCAGACGACGCATCGCGTCCGCGTATCGCGTGTGTGCCAACTGATAACAAATTTAAACTGTCAAATCTCATATGAATGTATACAAATTTAATATAAATATGTATGCCTATACATTGAAAAGGCGATAGAAGCAAAAATATTATACTAATTGATTATGCGTAAACATAACGATAAATTTTATCTGTTGCGTTGAATTGCAACAAACCTCGCAATTTCCAATTTAATCCCTGCCTGAAAATTTTATTTAAATAATATCTCTCCGTTGAGAGAAAAATATACTAAGTTTCAATAAATAATTGTTTGAATAGTACTAATATAACATTTATTTATAGAAAATAAATATTTGCTAAATAAAAAAATATAATAGTTAAATCAAGTAAATATGCATATTAATATTTAGTTAATATTCAACTGGCACTTCAAACAAATATTTAAATTTGGTACATTTTTCTTTCAGTGTAATACAATATTTTGTACATACATTTTGAAACAGTCACGTACGACATACATGTTATATAATTTCTTTGAAGATTTAAAAGAGGGACGTTATGAAAAGGCTTGTTTTTACTGTGCTTAAGAAAAGACATCGTTTCTTATAATTTTTGAGACGAGAAATCCGATGTTGTTAGTTTAAAAGAAACACATAAAAGTAGAGTTTAACTCAGGAACAGTCACATGTTTTATACCCTAGCGGCAAGAAAGTATGAATTGTTATAAAATAAATATTATTTTCTCTTTTTTTAAACATATCTTCTTTCTTTTTTAATTAACTCTCTCTAATAAACTACTCTCTACGAATCCTTAAATATTTAATTGTCAAAAATCTGAAAAAAAGTGGTGCATATTCGTATTTAATTACATTAATTAAAATCTACATTATATTATATGAATTTTAATTAATTATATTAATTAAAATCTATTTTATATTATATTATTTATTAACAAAAAGTAAGTAATGTGCATTCGCGTCGTGCGTATTTAATTATATTAATTAAAATCTATATATATATATAAGACTTACATTGATTAAAATTTTTATTTTTTAATACTTTCGTAATAAACCACTTAATGCTTATTCCGCTACGTGCTTATATTCCGTTTAATATTTATTTGATTTCTACTTACTTTTTTTAGAAAGATATAATTAAATCCATAATGTTTTTAAATAAACCGGAAAATAATTAATATACAATATATTATTAATAATAGTGATTTTAATTGGGATATAAAAACACATCAGATGATTATTTATGTAAAAAAAAATAGGTATGACTACTCGTAAATTGAAATCAGGAAAACGCGTGACGTTATAATCATTAGCAAGACAGATCGCCATGTCACAAATCTTTATCAAAGATACACAGTGTGTTACATCATATTTTGACACTTAAAATATAGACTATCTTAATTTGCTATTTAATCTTGGAATATCTCTAAGTTTAAAGATACGCGAGTTGGTATAAAGGGAGTACTCACTCAGAACACCCCAAAAAATTTTAATTTTATAGTTATATGTTTTAATAATATATTATCAAATATATAAAATGAGGCTCGAAAGAATCTATCAGTGAAAAATATAAAAAAACCCATCACACACACAGAGCCTATATCGGCTGGTCGGATGCACAGAAAACTTTTTATTTTCGTGTGAACGTAACAAAACGAATAAAACAAACGTTTCGACCCATCAATTCGGGTTCTTATCAATATAAAATACAATTTAATAAAAATATAAGTTGGTTAATAATATATTATATTATATTATAATTATAAATTTACACTTAGTTATATCCTTATGAGATAGAAGAATACAAAAATAATAAACTTTCAGACTTCCGGGCATCTGAACAATACTTTTTATTTTTATCTTCCAGGATAATTTTAAAGAAAACTAAAATATGAGCTGTGGCTACCTACCTACCCACTCAAAGATTAATAGCAAAAATATCAGACAACTGAAAGTTTCGTGAGCTTGTACATGTTCCAGTCAGCTATATAAGTCACTAGGAGAAGCCAACGTGAACTTGTTCAAGTATACGGAAACTTTCCATTGATATTTTCGCTATTAAATACAGTATTTTTATATACAATATTTCATATTTTTAATATACACGTGTAATACAATACATTACACCATCAATACACGTACTTACAGTTAGCGAGAATAAATTCGTTTGAGAATGAATGACGTCACGCACTTTTCCGATTTTACAAATTTAATTTTTTTATGCGTTCGTCATTATATAACGTAATTTTAACTAGCATTATTGAATTCCTCGCCTCAAAAACTAAAAAACGATGTCTACTATAATATGTATACATACTTTTCCCGAGTACAGCAAAACAGTTGGACTTATTATAATACTTTTCTTTATTTACGTTTAACTGAAATTGTTAATTATATATGTATAAGATTTTCAGTATAATGAAAACGTTATTACAAATTTTCCGAAAATAACTTACTTATTAATAACATTTATTGTTACAAAAAGCCTGATGTCTCTGTTTTATAATTAGTTTTCATTACAAACAGAGCAATTACATCTTTCTCACGCACGTTATTATCCAATCTAATCTAATTTTTTGCAGGATAATTTAAATGATATATCAGATTAATGAATCTGCAGTTGTTACACAATTTTAGAAATTCTTTTTCATAACATAAATGTACGTAATAGAAGTTTGAACTTTTCTTCCTATATTAATAATTAAAGAAACAAACTATAATATATTAATTTTAATTAAAGAATTGCACGTACAGTTACGTTGCATTACAGCTAAGTATGAATATATGTACATCTAATAGTCCTATTACTGCAATTTTTGTAATTATAAAAAGATTTTTCCCTCTATCTGTCTTTTTATTTACTTTTACTTTACTAAAAGGAAAATATATATCCTTCTCTTATTTCTTAAATCAACCTTGTAACTAAAAACTGTTTTTTGCTACTGCAGATAATATAAACGATTGAGATCGACTTGCTTCGTGAATATAGGAAAGTTAGTACCGTTTATATTAGCGTTGAGTAACATATATAAATGAGAAAGTTAATTAAATATATAATTAAATATTTAATTAGTAACAAGATGAATGTAACGAATAATAACAAAGTTTATTTTTTTGTATTCTATGCTGAAACCAAATTGAAAAAAATATAAATATTATAGTTACAAAGAGAAATAGAGTTCTATGCTTACAGGATGGGCGACATCTGAATAATTAATTTAAAATCTTGAAAAGCAAAATTCAAAGTGACCTTCACGCTTGCATTTTATGTACATCAAAGCATTTTATGTACTCCAAAATAATGTAAAACTAAAAGTTACTTTTTAATCAATAATGATTTATTTTGATATCAATGCATATATTAAATTAATTAACATTATAATTAAACCAATAAGTATAACTGATTAATCATAAATATAACTGATTATCTCTTTTTAAACTAATAACAGTCCTTTGTTATGTTTTATATGGAATAATTACATATCTAATTCATCAAATGTCGATTAAATTATTTTGCTGAACAATAATCAATGCACGCAATGTATACTTTCCATTGATAAATATGTCGCTGCAGATAACAATTACCTATACATTTTACCAAATTTCGATTATTGAGATTAGTGGATATATCGATCGAGATTTGGCTGATTCGTGATTGATGAAATTCTCTGTTTAATTTTATTTTAAAAGAGGGCGAAGATAGTTACCGATCTAAATGTTAAGAACTTAAAAGTAATCATTTATAAATGTTGTTAGCGATAACATGAATACATTTCATTTCACGCATGATATGTTGCATGATGTATCATTTTAGCCTTCTTATTCGGTGAACACAACAATAAAATGATACATCATGAATGCCTTCCATTTAGTGACACAAGTTGACACAAATATCATTCCATCTTTCTTTGCATTCCATGAGTAATAATAAAAAAAGACGAAACCATATTTTGTCGACTGTGTCACTAAATGGAAGGCACTCTATGTGTATTATACTTGAAATGAAACGCACTCCAATAAGCTGCTTCAGTCAGAATAATGAACGCTACAGACTGATAAACATGAAGCTGCCAAAGTGAAGGGAAACATGAAGGGAACCTTTTATCGATAAAATACTTAATATTTATTCTGCCAAATAACGTGATAACATTTTGATATTGAGCCTTTCATTGTTCAAACGCTTGCAGTATATCTATTTTATATGTTTGTTTTAGCTTTCTTCTCTGTAACTACAATTTTGTACACATTGCACAATAAATAAATAAAAATAAAAATAAATAAATAAAAGCTGTGTTCCAAAATTTACTGTCAGTACTGAAAATTTATAATTTACGTTACGTGCACTATAGATTTTCAATACTGGCAGTAAATTTTGGAACAAAATCTATGCAATGACATTGTAACGATATCGACACTGTCATTAATTACAGAATAGGGCGGTCCGATTCAATTGTGCTTACAATGCTTAAAAATCATTTTATCCTTGTTGTTTGTCAAATGTTAAACAAAGACAAATGATGCTCATGAGTGTTGTCAGCATTAATCGGACCACGATCTTAAGTAGCTTCATGTACATACATATAGTAATGTATTGCGGCCTTTAAAGTATATTATATTAGTATAATTATTATATTATTATTATATTTAGTATATTTATTATATTATATATTATTACAATAGCGAATCCGCGTCCCCCGCCGCCCCCGCGTCAGTCGTTAGGTCGTTACCCGCAAAAAGAGGTTATGTTCAGATGTCGCACTGTGCGGACGAGTTGGTAAAAATCTAGAAAACGTATTGTTTGAATTGCTTCCCGTTTCCTGTTTCCGATATGCTGCCGCCGATTCCGGAGATTAGGTGAGATTGTACTGAGTTTCATCAGGCTTGATGAGCATCGCAATGTATTGAGGGTTGGCTAATCCTATACAAGAAGCACGCGAAAACGCTACGAAAAGTCGTACATATTATCGAACTCTGTAGGTGCGAATGTGTCTCGATCTACGCAATCTACGTAGAAAGAGAGGTTAGGATTCAAAGCTTGGGTACGTCATAAGTGAACGTAAAACAAGGAGATTGCTCGTGGATATAAGGCAAGTTTTTTTAAATTTCTAATTGCATTATGCGCAAATGCAACTTTGCTCCATTTGCACATACTACAATTAATCGATTAATAAATTAAAAAATTCGCTTATAATTATGAACGGTTGTGCAGATCGCGATACATCAGTGCTCTGTGCTACGAATCGAAACAACAGCCAGGGTTACGACATGAGCACTCAGCAGAGTCCAGCCGCCTTACAATCCACTGTCGACCGTGAGAAGGTATACACATGGATAATCGAGCTATCGAATCCAGAGACAAGGGAGAATGCTCTTCTGGAGTTGAGCAAGAAGCGTGAGGTAGTGCCTGATCTGGCACCCATGTTGTGGCACTCGTTTGGTACTACAGCCTCTCTCCTTCAGGAGATCATTAACATTTATCCCGCGATCAATCCTGCAACTCTCACTGCTTATCAGAGTAACCGGGTTTGTAATGCCTTGGCGCTGCTACAATGCGTAGCCAGCCATCCAGAAACAAGATCTGCATTTTTACAGGTAGGGTTATTCTATTATTTACAGCTTTAAATGGCGATAAAATTCTCTATCCTGCTAACTAAAAAATTAATATAAATATTGATAATATTTAAAATATAATAATTATTATTATACTGGCTGTATCTGTTTTATGAACAAAGAGGAGAATTTTATTTAACAAATGTATGTACAGTAGAACTCTGTTTATCTGTATTCCACTTGTATAAATAAGTTCATGCTCAGATTCAAATATCCGAATTCATAGCTGAGCTCCTATTATCCAAACTAAGGTGCTGTAGTGCTGTGACTTTGGGTGATAGAACTCAACATGCTTAACTCTAGTTTTTTGAACGTCAATTCCTATTATAGGAAATAAGTACTGACAGAGAGAATTAGTAAACCTCTATTATATCAAAATTATTTGATCGGAACTGTTGTCCCAGGACAAAGATAAACAGAGTTGTACTATATATACAACTAAAAGTATATTTATAAAATATCACATATGTTTAATTTCAGGCACATGTTCCATTGTTCTTGTATCCGTTTCTGCATACCGTAAGCAAGACACGCCCATTTGAATACCTTCGCTTAACAAGTCTTGGTGTGATTGGTGCACTGGTCAAAACCGATGAACAAGAAGTGATCACCTTTCTTCTCACTACTGAGATTATCCCACTTTGTTTACGGATTATGGAAAGCGGCTCGGAATTAAGTAAGACTGTGGCGACATTTATATTGCAGAAGATACTGTTAGATGACAGTGGCCTCTCCTATATCTGTCAGACTTATGACAGATTCAGTCATGTTGCCATGATATTAGGAAAAATGGTTTTATCCTTGGCCAAAGATCCTTCAGCAAGATTGCTTAAACATGTAGTACGATGTTACTTGAGACTTTCTGATAATCCGAGGTGAGTATCGGAATATGTGCGCGATACATTTTTAGAAATCCCAAAAAATTTTAACGACGATTAATTTTGTAGAGCACTGTTAGCTCTAAGGCAGTGCTTACCGGATCAGTTGAGAGATAACACTTTTGCAACATGTTTGCAAGAAGATGCCTCAACTAAACATTGGTTAAACTTGCTTCTTAAGAATCTCGAGGCCGGTCCGCAACAACCAGGTCCACCGACTCAGCCGGGTCAACAAGATCCCAGGACGATTGGTATGTCGCCGCTTACATCTTAAGGTATCCTCTTTTTTTGACGATCGTATGATATTTGGTATACGAAAATATCATATAAGGATTTTAAAACGCTTCTATCCGTTCTATACTAATTTTTACGAAATGGTGCATCATAGTAGACGGCCATCTGTATTGTTACATATAAATATGAATTGTGCTGTGAAAACTAGTAATAAGTATATCGTCGGATTGTCAAATCGAGTACGTTATGATCATTGTAAATATGTATAGACGCTTGCGGCGAAATCTACCAATTATAATCGGTTCGATTTCATTCATTCAAACTTGAAAGCTACCGATTAATAGCCTTTTTATATAAATCAAAAATGTTTTGTACGAACAAGATATGATATAGGAGGTTTTAATGTTAGATACGTAATGTATGTATAATATGTGACTATATACATAAAATATGCAAGTGTGATTATCTATCACGGTAAATCAACTTAATTTAGGTAAATGTTCACTTTTACACAGCCGACCTCCGAGTAACCTTGACCTTGACCATTAAGGACATTCGGAGGTCGTTTGGAGCTGGCTGTGTAAAGATGAGCATTTACTTTAATTTATATTAATCATTATATTTACGCTTAGACGCCGGATATTTTGGTAGATTTTACAACATAAATGCGTTATTCATTGCCTAAAAATTTTATGTCATAAATCAGTATTTGATTGCGCAAAAATTATTCTTCAATACATAAGTAAACATGAAAATATTAGATTAACATTCTTCTCTTTGTACATTACGTTGGCCTAATTAAATTTCGTTAAATAGGCAATATACAATACATAGCGTATAAAACCGAGTCGGCATCTTTGAATCACTGCCTGAGAGATAATGATTTACGTAGGATTAATTTATGCACGCATAACGAAATTGTATTTGAAGTTAGTCCCGCTATATATTGTGATTGATCGATGATGATACACTATATTTGAACCATTACGCGTAATACAATGGTATCATCTATGTCGTCAAATGATTACGAGTCATAGCTTATAATGTAATTTTATGAGATATTGGGACTAAGTCGAATACATGAATACAAATTTGACATGTACGATTGTATACATTTTGCATAGCTCAACTGCAATTGAATGAAAATAGAAATAATGGCTAACATTTTGAAGAAGTTTGCATTGTTATATCGTTCACATCATTTGTCATTTTGAGCTCAGCCTCATTCTATAAAAAGAAAGGAAAAAAGGAAAATAACGTTATACATTAGTGATAAGATTTCTTCCGATTAAAGATCGTGAAATTATACGCACTTTTTGAGGATCTCTCGAGCGTAGAAAACCGTGTATAATGGGTGTAAATAATCTCTTATCCGCACGACTGTACTTAGACGGGCCCGTAAACCACGAGACCAGCAGGCCCACTAGAATTGTAATTAGAAAACCCACCCACGTGTACCAGAGATAAGACATTCTGTACAGGAAGAAAGGCTGTTCCCTGAAGAAAAAATTAAGATGTTTTAAATACGATATGATATATGGGAAGCATCATTGCGCGGTTTTTATATACGAGAGCAATTTAATAAATGTACCTGACAGCGGTCTCGACGATTGTCGTGAGATTTCCAGCGGTGCTCCTCAAAGATTCGGTGCATCCATCTATCGATATCGGTTTTACCGGGAAATAAATTGATCCGTTAGAGATCGCTGCTTGCGTGCCGAACGAGATCCAAGCGACTAAGTTCAGACTAACCACCGCACCGACGAGTGCTCCCTGTTCGAGTAAGAAGATTGAGTTAGGATGTTCCCATAGCGAGAATGCAAAATTTCTTAAGATCGGTTTAATTTTAATGATAAATTCCACAATTCGCTTATGTTGTAAATCTGTCATTGAAATTAACCATCGAAAATTCTGCGATACCTTGATATTATATTAAGATTTAAATTTACATATAAATAAACATATCTTCGAAATAAAGTATTAGGAGACAATATGGATATTATTTAGATATAAGTGGTCGAATGTGCACATATAGAACGTTGATGTCCTATTAATGAAATAAACTTAAAAACAATGTACTTCTGTCGATTTCTCTGCAATAATCCTCTTACCATAGAGTTGGCCATTGGGAACAGCATGCCCAACGAGAACATTCCAAGTAAGGGCCCGGCGGTTATTCCTGATAAGCTTTTACCAGCCTGAAAAGATCAGCACGCTCTTTATTGTACAGATTAATCGAGAATTAATTTACGCAAATGATCCGATTACCGAATGTTCGTGTACGATTACGTTTATTTCTCACCTGAATCAAACCACTTAGTTTTTCCACCATGAATACGAGACCCACGCAAATGGCTCCTATTATCACAACTATGGCTTTCATTATACGACTCGCGCCAACGTTAGAGATCGGCTTACGGAGACACGGCTTGATCATGTCTTCATAGATTACGCCAGACATGGAATTTAATCCCGTCGACATTGTGCTAAAGGTCAACGAGTGTTTTACATAGCCAAAAAGGAAAGATAAACGGAAAAGCGGTATATAGAGCATTATACAAATGAGATCCTCTTTCATCTCGGTATTATATTAAATAATTTCAAATTTAGCAAAGAATTTGCATCCACAAAGAAAATGAGAAATATATTGATCCTGTATATTTTAATTGAGAAAATCATTTTCAAATACATTTTAATCCAAAAAATCAGAGCATCTAAATTCTATAATACCTCAACGCCGCGCTGAATACACCAGAAACAAATAATCCTGGTAATCCTGGTATCGCCTCTGATAATTCCATCACAAAATATGGTAACAGCTGATCAGGCTTTCGTATTTGCTAAAATACAATTTTCATTAGTATTCGCCGAAGCGTTTAATCTAAGATTTCGCATAAAATCATCCACGTTGATCATGTAAATTCCTGAGAGAGAGAGAGAGAGTCGAAATTTTAGTCCTACTTTCAGTCTCTTTCAACCTCAATTAAACCTTATATAAACCTATTTTGATACTTAAACAATCAAATAGTACCTCTTTTAATATTACTTAATCTATAGCTTCTATTTAGAAAGCTTCTTTTGAACCTAAAAATAGGAAATTCCATTTACAGGCTCAATATAGAAGCTCAATTCATTAGATTGAAAATTATCATAAATCTATAGAGTCTATATACGTCCTAAATCTCTAGAATCTATATATGTCCTAAAACTTTAATCCTAAAAGGTTCAAAATAGAATCAAAATTTCGACTCGAGTTACTTCACATTTTACCTTTGTCGTAACCGGATCGCAGTCATAAAAAGCCGCGTAAATGACGATTCCCGTGTAGCAACATAACGAGACAATGCTGATTATGCCTACGGCCATTATCATAATCGCCCTAAATATAAAAGGAGATTAAATGAGTTAAATGACATGCGCCGCCGTGCGTCATGATGCATTTCTCAGACTCACACATTGGACTTCCTCAAGTTTGGCATCGCTAGGCATCGCTGCACCATCGCTTGGTTCACCGAACACGTGGCCAGCCAATTTAAATAATTGCCAACCACCACGCCCCAGAAAGTGTGCCTTACCGTAGGATCCAGATTCATGCTGATTAAAGTAGGAAAAGAATGAAATAGATATCATTTATTGCTCGATAGTTAGGATAACTTGATAGATTGAGTATAAAAATATGAAATAAGCAATGCGTGATTATAATAGAAACAATTGTCTATAAGCTATACGATAAATTAAATTAATTATAATAAAAATGTTTGAAGAAATTGCTGCTAGTACTTGAAGAACTCAATCCTCCCGGAGTCAACATTCCTTTTCCACACCTCCGCTACGCCACCGGCTCTGGCGGTGCCAAGTATAACAACGGTGATGACGGCACCGAACATCATCGCTGTCTGAATAGTGTCCGTCCAGACAACCGCCTTCAAGCCACCCTAAAGTACAAAATCACGTATTTTATTATTACTGATTATCTTGAATTTTATTGTAAGTAATAATATACTATTCTATTTCTTTAACACTTATTATATGGACTAATGTAAATATATTTTTATCTCATATTTAGCGTTGAGGATAGAGGATAATTTCTATCGATTGCCTCTTTTCTTATAAAATAAATAAAACAAACATCTCTGCATGAAATCAACTCTCAGATCTACGAATTATGTTCTTACCAAAGTCGTGTAGAAGATACACACGGCACAGACTAGTAATGCGATCGTATAGAGGTCCATTCCGGTCGCCTGATTGAAGGCTAGCGCCGGCACGTATATCACCAGCGGTATGTAAAGCAGCTGCAAGCGCAAAATTGCTCAGCGTGTTGAATTGCTTGCAAGATCGGCGCGTATCGAGTTCAACACTTCGAGGAATCCTCGATATGTAAAGATATATTGCATGCCGAATACTGCTAATAAGAAGATTTAGTAGATATATACATATATATGTATATACCGATTTTAAAAAGAGATTGGCAAGAACATTTATGTCCAAACACAAGGAAATAAATTCTGGACACAAACTTGCTTTAAATTATTAATTTAAATTTATTCACGTATATGTAACAGAAATAAACTTACCATTTTGATGATGAAGATAAAAGATCCCATGAGTCTGACTACTCGATTGAATCTTAATTCTAAATACTGCAAAAAAAGAATTGCTATTTGTTAAGATTTCTTGTTATACATAGAAAAAATGATTTTGCTAAAATATTATGTCAAAATAATTTATGTAAGACGTTCAATCTTCTTGTTAGAATATTAAAATTTTTTACACCATTATGCTTGAATGTCTTACATAATTATTTTAAAAGTCTAACAAAAAATTATTTTTCATATCGGTACGTAGCTAAATTTTTAATTATTTTATTTTTTAGCGCTGCTTTACTTCAGCAAAATCGTTCTTTCTGTATATAAAATTATTTACGTGCCTCATAAGAAGACGTAATTCGGAGTCCGTAGAAAACCGGCAGATACACAATCGCCATTGTAATGGATACAAAACTATCCGCGATCACGACACACCATAATTGCGTGCCGTAAACGTACATTTCGGCCGGCAATCCCAACATCGCTATGCCCGACACGTAGCTGCAATTTTAAGGGGCTGTCCTTAGAATTACTCGTAATCATGCAGCATTTAGACAATGCAAATTTAAACGTCACTAATTCTCAATTTATTTCTAGCAAATGGACAATCACTCAATTTAATGTCGTTAATAGCGAACATAATTTTGTGAATTAAAAGTAAATATGCAGGAGAGACAAAGAATAATTTTGTAAAAAAATCGCATTTTGCGATTATTGATGATTATAGATGATTAATAAAGTGTTAATATAATATACATATATAATTTTAATTTTTACATTATAAGTTGTAAAATGAAAATTATGTATCTTAATTCATAAAAATCACAATTTTACAATTTTAGTAAGGAACATATGCTTAAATCAAAAGTAAAGCAATTCGCAAATAGCAGTTGCCGTTAATAAAACATTACTGGCTTCTGACTAATATAGGGTGCTCTTAAAACGAATTCTTATCGAGATTATTCTGACACGTGGACTTGTGACTATTAATATTTAGAATCTTAACTAGCGAACCTTGACGGCCAATTGAAATGAACGTCACCTTATATGTCCTATATGTATATTTTCACAGAAGTTTTTCTATCAATATCCTAATGCTCTCATATTCACTAAGCTTACATAAAGTTAGATTGATTAAGGCCAGACATACATCCAAAAAGTAAAAAAATATTTTTCCGAGTTATCTTTCGAAAACTATTAATTTTACTCAAACAATAATATTAGTAAGAGATACATAAAATTTTTAATTAGAAACGTTCACAAATAGCACAAGCATAACTATTGGTGTCGAACTTGCCCATAGTAATAATGGTTTACCTTTCAAATGTAGAAGTTCGCCATTTTATCAAAATTGAGAATGTATAAAATTGGTTACGACAAAGATTAGATTTATTAATACATTTTTTTAAGAATGTGTTGGGTATTTTGTTTCAGATATGAAATATATGATGGTTATCTATATACTATTAGTGCTAACAGTTGTGATGATACTATTTGTTAATATTTTTTATTAAAAATTTTATGTAACACTTACTCGCTATATTCTTTAGAATGGAATCTCACTCTAACGAGTAAAATTGAGCCAGTTCTAGGAAAAGAATAGTTTAATTTTTTTTTTAAGAATGAGATTTTACTATTTAGAATGAAATTCACTCTAAAAGTTTTAAAAAGTATATTAATATACATGTAAGATATTGATCAAAATCCTTTTTGAGTAAAGTTAGTAGTTTCTGCAAAAAGAAATTATAAAGATAGAGGCATCTTTTTAATTTTTCTGGATGTAGAAACCTCCTAAATAAAAATATTTTCATATATTTTTCAAAGCATAAAAAGATATTTTAAAGTCTCAGAGAACATATGTTTTTAATTATACACTTTTTCGAGATGCTACGCGATACAAGATTTTAACTAAAACTTGAGAAAAAGAAATTAAAAAAAGGAATAAATCTTTACCTTGCTATCAGTGACATGCTTATCGGAAATATAGACATCTTTTGGCCGCCTACAAGATATTCTCCCACGGCGTCCGCCTTTTTCCTGGACGCATAACACTGATAGACGCCTACGAGGGCAGAGACGCCCAGCAACCCGATGAATACGATCGAATCGACCAAATCAAATGTTCGTCGGTTATCCGTCGTGTCCATTGTGCCACAGGTTTCGTCGAGCAAAAATTGTTCTAACCAGATATTTTATAGTCGATAAATTTTGGATTTTGTCACCATTACGATACTCTTTCGATATTCAGTATTCAGTAACTTAATAAACCGAGCGCATTTGTAGAAATTTGCAAATTGGAACAGAAAATTAGTCGTAATTATTTCCCGTCGCGTGCGAGTTCTCCAACATTCCACAGAAATCTGGCGAGTGTTAGATCCACATTTAGTGTAAGTTTGATATTTAAAAAATTATAAGAGAGAGAGAGAGAGAGAGAGAGAGAGAGAAATTTTATATAAAAATCAATCTATTCACATGATTAAATATTTAATCTCTAAGGAGCACGTTAGAGATAGATGATATTTATTCCAAATCTGATCACTTCGTCATAAATTTTGTATAGTTACACAAATGTTCACGAAACTATCACGTTTTTATAAACTGTTTTAATAATTACTGTAAAGTTAGAAAATAACGTGCTCGTCAAATTCTTCGAAATCACATGAAAGCGCAAAAAATGAATTAGAAGAATCACAGTCGATGAGACTGAAGTCAAAACCGATAGTTTTACGAAATCCGTCGTTTTGATCCCTTTGATCTCGCGCGATTACCGTGATTTCGAGATTGTGCGACGACGCGGCGACGAGATTACGGATATGCCGCTTCTTCTGCACGCTCTACGAAATGTCTGTGACGGTGAAAGAACGACGCGTCAAACGCAGCTTCACGGGCCACGATTGAATAATTGCGGATTCTCCGCCGCTCCGTTGCTCCATATCGCCCTCGACTACCGCCTTCCGTAATGGTACTTATATATGAGCATATGTAACGGCCGATGGACTTTTCGTAGATCACCTTCGTTCCGGTCTCACTTGTATTTTCGTCCGATTAATCCTTTCAATTCTCAACTTCTTTATTGATTGAAAGAAGAATAGAAAGAAATCTTTTAAATTCAGGAACGTTTCAGACAAAATGGTTTTCATCTTTTATAGTAATATACTTTTTAAATTTTTTAGAGTAGAATCTCACGTTAAAGAATGAATATCGAGCTAGTCTCGAAAAAGAATGGCTCAATATTTATTCTTTAAGAGTGTAAAATTCATTCTAAAAGTTTTAGAAAGTAAGAGAATAATGTTTATTATTGATGCACATAGCTATAAATTCGAAGTATTTAATCAGATTATCCGTTAGAAGATTTTATACAATTATGCAATCAGTTAAATGACATTTAGAAAACTATCTTTTACTACAAAGTGTATTGAAATAACGGAATCAAAGGATATAGTGGAAATGCTGGAAGCGAAATAATATTTCTGTATATATTCATCAGTATATCTAAATTTTTATTTATACAAAAAACAAAGTTACTGTTGCTCAACAGAAATATTTTATTGCATTTCTTTGAGCTTATTAGAGCTAAATAACATTAAACGCTCACGAAGAATTGCAGCGTTACAAGTAAATATAGTAAAAAAAACGTTCACTCTCTCCATTATTTTTAAGAGTGATACGGTAACAACAGTGAAATATCCGATATCCACTCAGGATGCAAATATACTTCGGTATCGGTAACATGTGTGTATTTCGAGAAAATGTAGAATGGAATGTATATATTGCGTCGACTTCCCATAATGACTGATATTCATGACAAATTCATGACGCACAAATACCTTACAAATACCTTACTACTATTACAGATAACATTACACAAATGTAAATTGTCCTTTTGACGATTGCTTAATATCATGATAATCAAATCGCACATTGAAATTTCTTTATATTTTATAGTGATGTAACGTAGTGGATGAATCAAATGATTATATTTAAACTATCTGTCGATGCTTATAACAATATCTTTCTAAAAAATCGGCACTTCTGATGTACATACATAAAGTATGTATATAACTCCAGCATGAGTTTCGTGTAATATTTTAAATTGCATAGTCATTATTTGCATGAAAACAAAAAATATTAGTATTATTTAAAAATATATATATGTTAAAATATTTAATATATTATTTAAATAAAATATATTTATATTGCTTGTCGTTAATTTATTTATGATTAACTTGAAATTTATTGAGTTAATATATACTTTATATATGTACATGTATACATATAGAATATGCACGACACATATGTATATTGATATATATAAGAGACTTCGTCTCGTTATTGTATCCATATTACATAAATAAATTTTTGTATATCACAAAAATGTTTAAACATCGAAAAATTCGTCGAAAAGGCACGCCATAATAACCTATTGTTTTAATTGTATTCATCTTACATTGCGTTGATAAAGGCACGCTTCAAGTCACACAGATATTTATATAACAATATAAAAATAAGTACGATAATCTAATCAATATGGAACACACTAATAGATCCAGAATAATTAATTCATACATCAATACATTCGCCTAAAAGTAACGTTATATATTCTATATTATTATCACGCGAAAAAGGTTGTCCAGTATTTTAAAATTAAGATAGTAACGAACTATAGTTTTGTGATATTTTCTGAAACTGAGAGAGTAGAAAGATTAGAAGTGACAGATTGATCGGCTTAAGTAATGTCACCATCATTATTTATAATACTGAACCTCTCAATTATTAAAACAAAAATTAAATTGATTATTAAAATAATTAATAAAACATTAAATTATTAAAATTATGTACAATTCTTTTAAGTACGCTAGAAGGAAAGTTGAAAAAATCTTGCTTGTATCGAGCTGATCAAGCTGTCTAATTTTTCTGATTTTTGAACTCGTTTACGTTTCTAAGTCTACATATTTAAAGGCATTAGCAAAACAGACTGTTAAATAAGAGTAAAGTATTTGCTATATGTATATACAGTTAATTATCAACTTGAAAACTTAATGCTACGAGCTGCACCTGGGCAAAGTTAATATCTTCATTTCTGGAAGACGCTGATCCACCCTCAAAGGGGATCATTTAAATAAAAATGACATGAAAAGTGCGTTATAATGTGTCGTTAGTATTATTTGACTAATCGCTAAAAATAGTGAATCATGTATAAATGATTAAATCTAAGGTCAGCGATTGTTGCAAGGAGAAGATGAAGTATTGTATATTAATACATATATATCCATGTAAATTCTTTCATTTGATTGTTGAAATAGTCATTTTTTAAATCTCCTAATCTTTGATTATAAGATTAATCGATGAGTATATAATATATAAGATATAATTGGAAATTTTATAAAGGATTATTTATTTAATTTTTCTCTCTGTAATAAATCTTTATTATCCTCTAGAAGAGATTCGGAAAAAATAAGTAATCTTGGAACTGCTTCTTTTTAAATTAGTTTCTACATTCATTGCACTGAAAGAAAAAATTGGTTGCTGCAACAAATTAGATGATTAAATATGGCATAGCATTTTTAATTTGCTGTAGCAATCAATTGTTGGTTGCGTTAGCCAATCTAAATCTTATACTGACATTGCGGATAGGCAAATACAACCAACAATTGGCTGCAGCATCCAAAAATTGGCTGTTGCAATCAATTAAAAACGCTATGCCATATTTTACCATCTAATTTGCTGCAGCAGCCAATCTTTTCTTTCAGTGTGGTTGATGAATTATTGAAATTTTAATTTAAAATATAAATTAATTTAAAGCAAAATTTATTTAAAACGTTATTAATCATTAATGACAATTTACAAGTTTGAGCAATGTTCTACTCATTAAAATACTCATTAAAATTGAGCATTAATCAAACACTTTCTCCCAATCGATAAAAATAAAATATTCCTTGGGAAGTAAGTGATTATTGAGCATATCTGCTTTGAGCAAATTGTATTTGTATGTAATCATTTTTTAAAATTTTTAACAAGATTAATGGCTGTTATTTGAATTTACATTGCAGCGGAATTTCACAAGAATGCATTGTGTCTTGACTCACCGCGGTTCGTGATAAAATTGTTATCGATTTCCCTTCGTTCTCGCGTGCAACGTCACTGACCTATGCAATGTGCGCGACCTTATACGCAGCACGTTTGCTCGGAAGGCCTTTCATGGACGGAATGGCTGATAAGGATGCGATTTCTTAAAATATTTATTATATATCTATTATTAAAATTCTAAATGGACACGCGCTGTGCATAATACAATAGAAATTTATGCGCCAATCATCGATCTTTAATTCGGGCTATTGATATAATTTTAGCGATTGTAAACTAATCGTAAAAACACTAAGAAAAAATTTCCTAAAAAATATGGAATTTCTTTACTAATCATTCATTAATTTCATTTGTAAATGGAATTTTTTAGCATCACAGTAAATATCCATGCATAAAGCCTTTATCAATAGAAGATAACTATAAAACAAACTTAAAAATTTATTTAAAGAACTAGCAAAAGGATAACTTTAGGGGCACTTACAGCTTATCTAACAGACGAAGGTATTGGAGCTAGTATAGCAATTTCACGGAAACTAGTGTTTCACCAGCAGTTTAAGATCAAGAAGATAAAGTCGAGAAGATTGCACTGCGCGCGTCTACATCTTACGAGCACGTCGCGTTAATAACTATTTAATTAAGTCACACAGCCGCATGGTTCGCGGAGGCGTGATACGCATTCACGAGTCACTCCAAAACTTACATTACTATGTTATAACTGTACAAGTGATCTATTAAGACGACGTTTATAGTCTCGATGTAAAAGATATACGTAAACGTTATTTTTCAAATACTTCTTCCATCAAAGTGTAATTAATACGTAGTCGAAAATGAGCCATGCACCTCTCATCATCATCGTTTCTCCAAGTCATTTCTCCAAGTCATCGAAAATATCAGGAAATCACTTGTTTTATGACTTGGCATTTAATGATTCAGGGATTGTCGGGAATAAAAAATAATTATGTAGAAATACGATTATTCTCTATGACACTGTGGTCATTCATAGAACTATCGACTATGAATATCATTCTTAAAAACTGTTCAACATACGTAAAATTGCGAGAGCATTTAAAAAAGATAAAACGATGCATTGAGTGATTTCTCATTGAGTGATCGCTCATACATACCAATATGTATTAACAATGTAGCTCGAAAAATTGTAAAAACGCGAAAAATCTTATATCTCAATGTATTCACAGAACAAGACAGAATAGCCACGTCACATTTTACGCCTATACGCTTCGCCACATCCTCTTATTTTCATTTTCCTGTCCACTTAAGCCAGAATTATCGAAGTTTTCGATAAAGGAATCTTTTCCTCAATATTCTGGGTAAATATATGTATGTCTTGTTCATTTTTTCACAAAAGCAATTATTGCCACAAAAGTTGTTCCTATTCGGACAAGTGGAACTTCAAAATGTATTTTTAGAACAAGCAAATATTTATCTAAATGCTTTTCTTTTTAAGCTTAAGTACCTTGAGATTTATACTTTTTCGAGTAAAGTCGAGAATGATCCTGCGTACATATATTCTTATCTTAAATGCCCATAATCTTAAAACGAACTCTCGCGAGCCTTCGTCTTAAGCTGCGCGGAGTCCGGGCTCGGTGTCATCGCCGGATTATCGTAAGCATAATCGAGAGTAGTATCCTCGCTAGCGTGCCGTCGTGAGAGAGGAGTGCTCGTGGTGTTCGGTGTAGTATTAATCCCATTACTATTACTATTACTACTACTATTATTATTCTCGATCTTGGATTCTTGCTCCACCGTGGCACTTATGCTTGGTATAGTCAACTTGAGACCATTTTGCTTATTCGTCGCGGCCTCGACGTCATCTTGCACTTTGTTCTTATTAGCCTGCTGAAGCAACAACGTAATTAAGACGTTACAGTATTTGCAACTACCTTGCGCAAAACATCACGTAAGAAGTCATTAAATTTGTCGTAATGGTCGCTTGCAGTTTTAAAAAATAAAAAGAAGAAAATATAAGAATTTTTTATCATACTCGCGTAGGGGACTAAGTTTTTAATTGTATTTGTTATGTTGATACATTTTATTTTATTTTTGCACGCATGTTTAAGTTATAAAAAATTTGTCGCATAACAATGAAGAAAAAACTTTTTGGAAAGATCTATTCTTTCTGATTCTCACCTTCACTTTTATATTCCTTCGAAATATAGTTTGTAAAGACTCTTGAATCCTCTTCCACCGTATTAAGGTCCTTGCCAACAGGTACAACATTCCGAGCAGTGAGAAACAGGTTAAAATCGTTGTGATCACGAACCTATATTTAAGCCTCTCGACCTCCTCTATAAAAGAAAATTTTACAGCTAATATAAAAATTTTCTGAGGATTATCGAAACGGTTAGTGTGACATATTCGATTTATTTTCGAAACCAATTCTCATATTAATTATAGAAATTGTTATAAGAAATATTAATAATGACGTTTCAGAAAAGGATTATTTTTTAGATAATATAATCATTAGAAATTTTTGCGCAATTTAATTTCACACATTAACAAATAGGATGTAAATAATTTGAAAAAAAACTGGGGACTAATTATTTATGTGATAATCGTTTATTGTACACCGTAATACATCGCTGATTTTAAAAAAGGTACACATAAGCATATCTAATATCCGTTCTCATTAAACCCTCGAAAGTGAAAGTTGCGCATTATGTTCCTAAGTAAAGTGTATGTTCTCTTATATTAGAAAGGAAGAGTCAACGTTAATATGAAATATTAAAACGAATATGTTATAAATTGCTTACAATTACTTTTTTCTAATCGCGAATTATATAAGGCAATACAAGACATAAGACTAAAGATAAAATATTGAAATTTCCTGAGTATTCTGAAACCACTTGAAAAAGTATTTATATAATGTAAATATATCTTGACTATAAATGTACATGAAAATTTATACTTCTGTAATAAAAATAGCTACGAGATTTGCAACAATAAATTACCGGTCTTCGCGACTGTATATTAAGCGGTACTCGCGCAAGAATTATAAGCGAGTGACGCTTGTGCGAGATTTGCGTCGTTGAAATCTCCGACTGGTTTGACTTCTCTCAAGATGTGCGGGACTTCGCAATAAAATTATGTGCATATTCTATTTGTACTTGAGCCCACTCACCTCTGAGATCATCGTACTGTCTTGATTGATCCATGCGTTGAATATAGCGCTGATCATGAAGATAAACTGAAATTAGAAGGAGTGACCAATAATTAATATAGTATTTCGCGCATTCGCACCGCATTTATCGGGTAAACTTATCTAAAATGTGCTCGAGATATTTCAACATTAAATTAATGTTTTATTAATATTTCTTGTTGAGATTATCAAATATTTAGAAAGCGTTACGAAAAACAAATTATTAGCGACGCTACAAAACTCGAAGATTTCTCCAATTATAACTGTTTTACCATTATGCTATCATGTACTAGATATGTGAGAGGGAAACTCGACGGTTTTGTGTGTGTGATCATATATAATTAAAGTCGAATCAATTACAGTTTTAAAAATAACAGTTAAATATTGTGTATATCATATATGTTAAATTCTACTGCAATAATATTTTAATAATATTAATACAATATTAATACATACTACAATCTTTATTAATAGTTTGTTCAAAGATATAATATAGCTCTAAAATAAGAAAGGTAAACGTTATTAAAAATTTGCGTAAAAAATATATAATTATAATTAAAAATATCTTACGTATAAGTAAATTTTAGAGATTAGTTTTATTGATTTGTGACATTTATTTTTATTTTCTATCGGAGTTTTTCTCTATATATGACTACGTTTACACGCACTGATAAAACCGTTTTAGTAAAAACCGTTTTTATGAAACTGACCAATCGTAGTCATTTCATTCTTCTGAGGAATAGTTATGATTGGCCAGTTTCATAAAAACGGTTTTTACTAAAACGATTTTATCAGTGCGTGTAAACGTAGTCTATGATCTACTCCTTCCAAGCAAATTAAAAAAAAGTTTCTATAAAATTCGGCTTAACGCACAATCGATCTGTCTGCTACTAGCACACTTCAACATACGTCTTCAACGTTCTCTGATTCTTCTTATTCGAATCAATCGTATACCTCTCAAAAAGTTCTCGCGCGCTTGCGTAAGGCCGGAGAGTCGGTCGCGATAGCAACTAACAGCACAAACAATTCCGACCTACGATGCTTACAGCACGTTAGAGTGCGATTACGCCTTATCCCGACTATAAATGCAAGATGACCCCGTTACAAAAGAGAAACGAACCTAGACCTGAGACGATGAGTTTACATGGATCGATTCGCGAGCACTTAGTCGCGATGGCGTTGGATAAAATTTGCAAGTAAAGAAAAGAATACTCTGAACTGAGATATTTAATTGTTCAGAATAATATCAGTTACTAAAGATAAAATATTATGTAGTGTACCGTACTATTTGGATCATTAATTATAATGTCGCAATTTTGAAAAATAATTTATTAGAATGTCCTGCAACACAAACGTTATAATTTAGAGCAATCTTCATTCACCGTTTTACAAATTTCTTGAATATCCTAGACGTGAAAAGAACGGCACGTCTTCCCCAGTTCTTATTTCATTGAACATTTTTACGTTCATTACTCAACACACAGAGTCAACAAGTTCTCCCCCAACATAGAAATCGTATATAAGTCCGAACCGAGTTTACCGACATAACGTAACCGGACACCATAACGGGGTCTCTCAATGGGGAACCAGACGCGGGCCCGACAGAACTCTACACGGATAATTTCATACGAACCAGCTACGCACGTCAAATTAAATCCCCGCCCCTTTCCCTCTCCCGTCAAGCAAAAGAGCATCCTTTGATATAAAGGCAGAGAATTTCATTCTTCGCGCGTCCCAAGAAGGAGCGAAGCCGCAGTTTCTCCTACCTGTCGGAGCATGAAATACATCTCCCCTTCCCCATTACGGAACCGATGTTGAATACCAAGCAGGAATGGAAGGGAAAAAAAATGACGAAGAGGAGGATAGGGAGGGCCCGAGGAGGCTGAAAGAAAAAGGACGGCGGAGAGGACAGAGGGAGGAAGAAAAGAAGCTAGGTGACTCATCGACCGCGTTCGCGTGTGGGAAGTCGGTAGGAACAGTCAGGTGCAAAGTCAACGGACCCGAGAACCCGGGTTTGGTTTGCTTGCTTGCCGCGCTCGGCAGAGGTGAACGATGGCACCGTACTTGCTATCCGGTTTCCCGTATGTTCGCGTGAAAACGAGAAATCAGGACATCGCACCGCGACATATGATAAACGCCGGATAAGAGGCAAAATCGTATAGGTAAATTCAAATTCGCAAAATATGGAACATTAATTTTTCCGGCGGAGCATTAATTTTAAAATTTGGACACTTTCATACCGGTGTGCGCAAATTCCAGTATCTTGTCAAAAATATTTTTAAGCAAAAGCTAATTGTAAAAAAGACTATATTTTATGTATATTTTAATTACTCTCTCTAAATCTGAATCAGTGGTTAGTCACTGATATCAGTACCAAGTATGCCACTGGTAATCAGTGAATTAAATGTGAGATCCCTAACCTAGTCAATCTTTATTATGTGATCTAACTAATCTTGTTTTAGTGCTTAAATTCAATGAATATGGTATTGGAAAATTGAAATTAACGTGCAAATATCAGTATTTTAATTAAATAATGCTCAAACATTCTTCCTTTTTTAGTTGAACTTCATTGATTATCAGTGCCAAGTATACCACTAAGTAATTAGTGACTATTCACTCATTCAGATTTAAAGAGTAAAATATAGTCTTTTTTACAATTAATTTTTGCTTAAAAATATTTTTGACAAAATACTCGAATTTGCGCACACCGTATGAAAGTGTCCAAATTTTAACCGCCGAAAAAATTAACGTTCTATATTAATATTAATACTTAAAGCGAACTTCATAATCGACTGACTGAAACTACGCAATAAATTTAATTATGATTTTAAACGATGCGCTTTAACAGTAAAAAGATAATAATCATCGTATAACAATACAAAAATTATTTACTTTTAAAATGCTTATTATGAATCCAGTTTATGAATATCCTTCTAATTGTAAGATGCCTATGAGCATCAATATTCTATTAAATTGTTTGTCAATTTAATTTATGATATAACTATTCTAATTCTATTAGGATTGCGTTTCAAAACTGAAAAATAAATTCGGCACAAAATTTGCACGATTACATGAAGAGAAAAAATTTGCTATGAACGCTAATCCCATGCCATAATGGCAAATTTCATTTGCAAATACAGGGATCACAAATTATTTGCAAGTCTTACAAATATTTGTTCTTTTTTCATTACAAAAATTATTTGCAACAAATACAAAATATTTGTCAAATATGCAAATTTATTTGCTATAAATATCAAACAAATTTGACAATTAAGCTTTGCAATCTTTTTGCGTTCATAGCAAAATCATTTTTCTCGGTGTACTCTCTAAATCTGAATTAGTGGATAGTTACTATATAATTACCCAGTGGCATACTTGGCACTGATAATCAGTGAAGTTCAACTAAAAAAGGAAGAATGTTTAAGCATTATATAACTAAAATATTGATATTTACATGTTAATTTCAATTTTCCAATACCATATTCGTTGAATTTAAGCACTAAGGCCCAGTTTCACAACTGACGGTTAACTCTTAACCAAGGTTCAACTTATTCATTATCTTTTTTCAATTCTAGAATTGGAAAAAGATGAGAAATAAATTGAACCTCGGTTAAGAGTTAACCGTGAGTTGTGAAACTAGGCCTAAAATGAGGTTAGTTAGATCACATAATAAAGATTAGCTTATAAGTTAGGGATTTCACATTTAATTCACTGATTACCAGTGGCATACTTGGCACTGATATCAGTGATTATCCACTGATTCAGATGTAGAGAATAGATATGAATATAAATTTTTATATATATATATATATACTGAATTATTTAAGCACTAAAGATCCAGCTTGATCGTTTAAAGGTTTTCATTTTCTAGCTGTTGAATAATCTGTTGAATAATCTGTAGCAAAAAGCTGTTGTATTTTCAAAGTCTTAATCTTTTACATAAAAACTTATTTACTACTCACATTGACAGTCTTTTTTGCACTCGTCTGGCTGATAATTGTGACTCGTGGCGTTACATGCATCTGCACATGGTTTGCAATGTAGATCGAAGGGGCTACAATACTGCGAGATGTCGCAAAGTATCTCGCCACACCTGGTACCCCGAGGATCGAGGTCGGCTAGCAAGACATTAGCCAAGACGGATAGAACGATGATAACTGACACTATCAATGTCATGCTGTTTACGGTCACCTCCAGTAACACTTAATCGAAGCAATATCAGCTCTAATGCGCAGCGGATCTTATCGAATTCGCCAACCGGTTTGACGTTCTTTCTTTTTTTCAAATTGTCCTTTTTGCTTTTCTTCTTCTCTCTCTCTCTCTCTCTTTATCTCGAATCACGGATCTAGGACACAATCGTGGCTCTCTCCACAGTCGACGCTCATGATGATCCTTAACGGCACTCGAAAAGTATACCTCGTAGAGGCTCCATGTTCGTGGCGCTAAAAGCATTATGAAGAGACATCTGTTACATATTTGATTTGTAAATATTATTTTCAAAAGTATACATTCAGTAGGACACTGTAAGGAACTATCTCTATTTTAATGTAAAAGAATGTAAGGTCAAAAAGTCCGTTAGACGATATAATTATAAAATCTGTTACAATTTTAAACAAAAAGACTTTACGACAATTTAATTACATTCTTAGTAATATGTCATTCTTTGGCAAACGAAGTAATACTGACAGTAATATACATATATGATGGAATGTACATAATCTGCAATTTTTAAACATCTTGGTATATAAAGATAACCAATGAGAGACATAGTGTAGTTCGAGTTCATGCACACAGAAAGGGCAACTTTTCACTAACAAGATATTTAAAAATTTATTTAGATACTGAAAATAATTTTATTGGATTATCAAAATATAATATATTATATTTTGATACTAAAATATTCTAAAATTGGATACTAAAATTGGTATAAAATTGTTGAATATCTTATTGTAAATTGTAACTTTGAATAATATACGATTCGGTTTAGTAATTTAGACTTTAAATATTCTCGTGTACTTTTTAAAAATATATTATTGCTAAAATTAAAATAATTCCTCAGCAGTCGCTATAAAAGAAGAATAATTTCTTTAATCTAATTTATATAAATTGTGTTTAATGTAATTGCTAGACGAAAAATGTACAACTATCTGATGGTTTTGAGGAAGTCGCAAAGGAATGCAGAAGTTCAATAGCAATTCGTATAGTTTGAATGTACAGTGGGTTTATTTAGGTCAAATCGAGGATTTTTTTCTGAATGGAAATGTGTTTCGTTTCGTTGGTTTACGTCCATTGGTTACGTCCGATTTCATCGAGAGATGCGTCAGTACCTGTGAAGTGGCATCACCTGTACTCTTCAAACACCTGTGTTAACGCATATGCGAGCGCTGCTGAATGCATCAAAATGGCCTCCGGTGTCGTGCAACAGCGGAGATACTTTCGCCTACCCATCGACAACCTCGTTTTATTGTCACATCATGGACTATGTTTTGTAAATTACTTGCGGTCTGTCGTTCTTGTCGTGTTTTATATTCTTTAGATTGCGTGACATCTGCGTGACGTTTGCTTAGAGGACTATTTTTTCAAAGTGAGTAACGTACTTTCAATAATAAATAGTCACGATGATATTATCAAAAATTGCAATGAACTGACAGATTTATAAATAGAACAAATTCTTGTAATCAAAGAATGAATTCCAATCAATTAACGGATAATAATGAAACAATAAATACTGATGGATACTTGTAAGACGCGTAATCCGCAGTCGTTTTCGAAATAAGATACAATATAATGAGAGACTAATATTCTCAGGGCCACAGCATATCGCATTTGTGACTCACTCGTCGTATCAACCAGCGAGGTAAACGCTTGCTTCGTTTCCTACGTAACGGCAATGGAAAATTGCTCTCCCACGCGTAATAACGACTAGCTGTCGATTAAAGTCGCTAAGACTAAATTATTTTAATGAACCGAAATATTTCATCACAATCTTTTTCGATGCTCACTTAATTTTTTTTATTTTAATTTAAAAGAATTAATCAACATTTCAATTTTAATTAAATAAAATATTCGAAATCTTAATTAAATGTTCAAGATCGATTATGTCAATTTTAGAATTATTTTTCACGTGCTTGCAATTCAATACTTAAACATTGTTAAATTCATAATATCAAATTATATCTAATTTGAGCTATTTTTAACTGTTTCTTTAACTCGCCATTGTTTCTACTCAATATGTTGTTAATTTAACTAAAACAATAGAGTTAAACAATTCAACTCAAGAAATGTATTACATTTGACATAAATTTAATTTATTTACTAGGTGTATACGTTACTATGGACATCGTTTACTTTGTAACTACAGAAATAGATTGATTTACATGGACTTTGAAATTACGGAAATAGATCGTGTGATTTACATATGAAATAATTGAATAAAAATAACAAAATATTATTTTTAATTCAAGAGATTTTACCATTGCTTCTTTGGTATCTATAAACAGTAGACTGTAATTACAAAATTGAAAAAGAATATTGTCGAAATGAAAATATATTGTCACAGTTGATAACGTCATAATGTTTAATAATTGCAACACAGCAATGCGTCAAGCAATTATGATATGTCCACATATATACACCAACCGATGTTTTGGAAGATACACGATTGTACGTGCCTTTCTTTTGCCAACATTATTACGGCACATCGCGTGTCTTAAACACATTCAGTTATCGGGTATTATGTATATATGTTTTAAAGTATATAACTTTACTTGTGATCATGCGGATGCACATTGTAACGCAAATGCTTGTTGCAATTCGCTGCGTGGGATCAGCAAGCGCTGTGGTACATCTGGTACCGAATGCACACAATACGTGCCGACGCACAATGCTTTAGGGTGTTGCCTGGTGTTGTAACAAATGGAAATCGAATGCGAACACATGGTACAATCTACTCAAATAATCGTACAAAATAAAGCAATAGCAAACTATTTAAAATGAACGGAATATGGAAATGATAAAAGTCTTAAAATTGTATCGTTTATTTATATTTATATTTATACCGTATAAACATACATATGTATTTACAATCATTTTATAAAATATTTCTTAAATTTTAAAATTCTATTGTTTTGTTTTTCAGAAAATAATTTCAAATAATATCAACTAAAATCAATTAAGTCCCTGAATTTCAAAAGTTATATTCCCGGGAAATAAACCTGACATATTTTATTCAAATATTTATGTGAGAAATGTAGACAAAATAAGAAATGTATTTCAGTATTCCTGTAATATTTGTCAAATATAAATGAAAGTAAGTTACAATGTATAGATAAAGAAGAGTTTATGCTATAGTTTATGCAAATACTATTTTTATTTTCTTATTTAATGCAATAAATAAATATCTTGATTTATGCGATGTATATTATACTGGGTTGATTAGAAAGTTCGTGCCATTTTTTAGCACAAAATTATATTTACAATATCTTCGTCAAGAATAAAAAAATTTTAATTTAAAAAATCGGTTTTGAAGCTTAAAATCTCTATTTTCGAAAGGTTACTATGTTTATTTAAGTTTCTGTAAGTTTGATAATTTTTACATACAGAAAACTACGAACTGAAAAAGATGGAAAATTTTCTTCTAACTTTGAATCTATCATTTGCTCAAAAAAAATTTGTGAAAATTTTCGGCTTTCCATCTAAGTGAAAGCTTAAAATTTTCCTTACAAAATCATTTTTTTTTAATGTTCCTAAGATTTTTTATTACTGAGTTATCGAGAAAAATAAATAAAAGGAGCATTTTGACTTTGCTTATAACCGAGCTCATAACTTTGTTAAAAATCATCGTACTGCAATTTAAAGAACCAATTTCTAAAGGTAAAACTTTGCTCTATGGAATGGTATAATAACAACAAATATATTCTATGTATTTTGAGCTAAAAAAAATCGGCATGAACTTTATGACCAACCTAATATATAATTTAGATTATGTCATAATATGTCTACAAAGTAAAATAAATAATTAGAATATTGACAATGTGAAGTGTATAATTGTTTCGTACTGGAGAACATATTTAATCATTGTATTCGAAGATTAAAACTTATAATTTCAAATAGGAAAGCTTTTTGCACACACACACACACACAGTTCACACAATTATTTGAAAGAAAAATTTCTTACTTTTTTCAAATTGATTAAAATTTCATGAACAAAATATATTATATAATAATAAGTACTATTTAAAAAATCTATATTATGTATAAATTGATTTCTGTAAATACTTTTTTTTTCAAAAAATTGATTTATTATATATAAATAATTAATAATTATTTACACATTTAAATTCATCGCATTTAAAGGATTTTAATGGCGATGTCTCTCAAAATAATTAAGAGCTATTTTATTTTCTTCACGATGCCTTTCATTCAGTATTATTTTAAAATGTTTATTTATCGCATTCTTACACGTTCAGACAAGCTTTCAGATCCACTTTTCATTAAGCAATATCTCGATCTTGCTGTTTTTATCCCACAATAACGGAAAACATTGCTAACTGTGCCTTGCTCGAACTCTGCATCGAGAAACGTTTGCCATGGAAAGTCGGAATAGAGAAGTCAGAGGTAGGCGGTGGACATGCACGGTCGGAACACAGGAATGTTGCTTGACTGGTTCACGAGAAGGCTTTTACGCATGGCGAACATTATACGAACCCGAACATCGTCGATATTCGCTCTCAAACCTCGACTACGATCAAAGGAATGAATCACGAATCAAAGTCGTCTATCGGATATTAAACAGCGTGATGTGAATAGATTATTCATATAAGTGAGAAATTGTACGCTGTAATAGCATAAGACTTATGCTATATTGTTGCAGAAATTTCTGTTTCGATATCTTTAAATACTGACATCATTTCCCGCGTGCAAACATTATGACAACAAAATCGGAATTCTTTTTGCTTCTTCTACTTGTTTTTTTTTTCATATATTAATTTGTATCTTTAAATACTGACATCATTTCCCGCGTGCAAACATTATGACAACAAAATCGGAATTCTTTTGCTTCTTCTACTTGTTTTTTTTTTCATATATTAATTTGTAATTCAAAACCTAATTCAAAACCTATGTTTGGATATTTTCATTATTCATGTCATTTTCACTATTCATTTGTACTGAAAAACCTATTAACGTTTGAATATTTGAGCTAAAAGGCTATCAGTATTTGGATATTTTAGTTGAACACATAAAAAGATATCGGTCAAACAAAAGTTCAGAGTATTTCCTATTTTATTGCTAATTTAGCAAATAGCAATACGAAATTATTAGCCACTACAAATGGTTATTTGAATTAGAAGCTGATTCATATCGTCACACATACTTGGTATTTCGTTTCTTGTAACATCTTTTGCCCATTGATAACGCTATGCGTAACCCGCAGCCAGTCTTGTCACGTACTTGACGTCAGAATTTGTCGCGCGAAGCCGCGTCACATCGCACACGCGCGATCATCTTGCTTATGACGAAACGTCGCAAATGCTGCGGTAGCAATCTCGGAAGAAACTGCATTCGCGATGCAATCACAATTCTGGATTTTCTAATCCCGCGTAACCGACGTGCAACAAACTAGGACAAACGTTGCGCGACAAGCGTGTGTAATTACGTACTAATTAATCAGTTAGTCACTCTCATTACGACGTCGTCTAACACTCGATTTCAGGAGCTTCCCAAGCGATTTTCCACATGGATAACGATTGCAACAGTACAGTGTAACGTCGCGCTCGATTGATTTGTCCTTGCTCGAGCGAGTAAAGTGTTAATACATGTTTAATGAGTTTTCGGAAAGCATCGTTTGATACCGGAAATATGCACTTCATTGAAAGCCTGCTACATGAATGAAACATAAATCTCTGAACTGAGAAAATATTTTAAAAAAGAACCTACAAATTCTTTGGCTGTTTCAAGTTGATAATTCTTAGGAAAAGTTCAATTGGATGTCACAATTTTTTCGTAATTTATTTCTTGTTAATCAAACACAAAGTTGGCATTCTATCGAAACAAGATTTTGAAATTCTATCAAATTGTAATCTTAAATTTTAAAGCTTTAAATAAAAATGAGCATTTTACTACTTTGTGTTATGCTATTCAGAATTAATCTATTTTAACAACAAACCTTTGTTTTTAACAACAAAAGTTCTTATTTTTGATAATTTTTACTTTTGTTAAACGGTAGAAGGGAATACTGACTCCAAATTAGGCAGAAGATTCTTTAAGTAAAATTTTTAGTAATTTTTCCCGAACACTGTAAATTCTAACATATGGTGTTATATACCGGTATTTCCAAGCAGCGGGGATCGATATTATACATATAGAAGCAAGTGGATCAATGCGATACGAATAAATTGTGAAATTATCTTGATAAATGTCAAGCCTCGTCTTATGTATTCAACTATGTGATCGTTAAAGTCTCCGCGGATTCTCCTTGCATTGTCGTCCAACGAAACGCATTCCACGTGTTTTCGATGTGCGCACTTCGCCTCTATGCGCCGATCAGCTCTAATTCGATTCGAGTAGCTCGGTAACCGGATTCTCAAGCATCTAATGACAACGATAAGCTCGTCAAGTCGTGGACAATAATATTCTCCTAATGATAACGATATTCTCGATCGAATATGTGTAAAATTAAAGACGTTCATATATACACAAAGAAAGTTATTTTCCGAAAAGAGAATATTAAAGACAAGCATTCAAATAAACCCAAACAAATCATCGTTCGGACGTCAGAATTTGTCGTATAATAAACATTGTATATTGCAGTTCAGACAGAAAGAAAAGAGTCTTTTAAATCCATTTCGAAGATAAACAATTAAAGATTACGGTTTCCTCGCATTAACTATAAAATTTAAGCATTGTTTACCCAATTTTATGGCGCAACATCATGGAGGAACGAGTCGCGCCAAACTCTGCTAAGGCCCAGTTCCACAACTGACGGTTAACTCACAACCGAGGTTCAACTTATTCATTGTCTCTTTCCAATTTTAGACTTGGAAAAAGATGAGAAACAAGTTGAACCTCGGTTAAGAGTTAAGCATGAATTGTGAAACTGGATCTTTGCGCAATTTTGTAACTGCAATTAGAAGCACGATAGAGATCACTCACTTACCGAAGTCATCCGTGAAGCGCAGTCCGCGCCCCGGACGTACGCACGAACTCACGCACCCACGCACGATCACGTGCTACGCACCCCGATGTCCTCGGATTCCTGCGTCGCGGTGAACGCGGACGCACGCGCGTACATTGTATTCGATTCGCATGCAAACTCGTGAACGCGCACCATCGACGGTCCTCCACGCTTGACTGTCGATCGCGAGATTCGAACGCTAAACCGAACCGAGTTGGTGGCGACGGCGGGTTCCCTCAGGTTCCCGCGACTCCCACCTCTTCGAGGAGTCGCAGCCCCTCCAACCAGCGCACCTGTCTCCCTGCCATCGCGTTCACCTATTCCTCCACTTCTCCCTGCGTCCTGTTCACCTTTTTTTTCTCTCTCTCTCTCTCTCTCTCTTACCTGCCATTTACCTGTTGCCAGCTTGCGCGCGCACTTGCAATCCGCGACGACTCGCGCCGTTCGATTGCCATCGGAGATCCGCAGTCGACGACGATAGCACGTGTTGACGTGTCAAGTACGCGAGCACGTGATTCTGACCGCGGAGGATGCCGACGCATCTTCCGGAGAAGAGCTGACCAAAGGCTGACAGAAGTCTGATTTTTATCTTTTTATAATATATAATGTCTCTGCCTTTTCAGGAAAGAATATATATCCATTTTTGCAAAAAGAGAAATAAATCTTTTAGGTATAAACTATGTAATAATATAAACTACGTAAAAAGATATGTCTTTTACGTATTTTTAACTAATTCAATCATAGAACTTCCTTTAACTCTTTGCGACATATTTTTTTCTATTAGCCCGATTTCAATAAAACTCGGAAGATTTTTTGGAGAGATTAAAGTGTGATACCATTACATCTTACAGATAACTCAAGTATTACAAAAAAAGAATAAAAAATGTAAAAAGTTTATGACAATCGTAAGCAACTAAATAAAGAAAGGTGGATATATCACTACGCCGTAAAAGAGTTAATATTACTTGCGTACAAAGAAGGAATGATTTTGTTGAAGTATCTTAAAATTTAGCTATAGATAGAAAAAAAATTTAGCTAGATTTGAAAATAACATTCTTGCAATCAGTTTAAGCGTCCTACATAATTATTTTTATGGTCTGATAAAATTATTTTCAGATCTGTAAGTCTAGCTAAATTTTTAGATACTTCAGCAAAACGATTCTTTCTGTGTAGAATTATCTACTATAAGAATTTAACACGTTCCGCGTCGCGTGGGTCACCGGAGACCTATTTTCCGTTCAGACTGTTTGATATTTTATATAAAAAGTTTGATATTTTATAAAAAAAGAAACGTAATTATAAAATATTTTTTATCATACATAAATAATTATGATATGTATTTGATATTATATATTGGTACATTAGGTCTTCTTTAATAATAATTTTCAATTTTTTAACCATTGTATAAAATACACGTTATTTAATAAATATAATAAATACAAACAAAAAAAGATATCGTAGATCATCAGTCACTCACGTAGTGTGGTAGTAAAGCTACTTTAACATTGACGGAACGTGTTAAAAATATTCGACTAACAGCGGCAATACATACGAAATATTTGTTATCGACAAAATGTGCTCACTTGCAGCGCAAAATAAGATAGCGATGTAAGACAGTTATGCAAACAGATATTGGGGCAGTAAAGCGTATACCGCACATGTAGTGGGATGACGACATACATATTTTTATTGCGTATTAAATGTTCATACAAAGATATAACAATGACTCTCGCGTATTCGCGGCGCTACAGGTGCTAACATTATTATTGCAGGTTAATATTGTTGTTCCAGAGGAAACGAATTATTGCGCATAAGAAGGTTGATTGAGGGGGCGATTTGTCGAGTAGGAGGTCGATATGTCGAGCCATTTTGGTGCTGTTGTTTCTGCTTGTATGAAAAGGATGCTGCGAGCCGTCGGGAATTTCTCGAAATAATTTCGGAAACCGGAAGCGAGTCTCGCGAACGTCGCCTTTTGACTCATTTCTTCGTTGGAACTTCGATATTCATCTTGATTCGCAGTGTTTATCAAATTGTTGCGCGTTGCACGATAATGTAAAAACGCTACTAAAAAAAAAAAATCCTACAAGAGATTTGGAAAAACTTCACGACACCCCTGGTTGAGTATATTGCTCATTGACCATAGGTACCCGTAGATTATCACGCTAACGTTGGTCCCCATAATCATTGAAGATATACCCGGCGCGATTGTGCCCGCTGTTGAAAATTATCGCGATAGTTTTGGACCCTCCCGGTTGTCTGCATATATCGCTGTTGATTCAAAATGTAGTCGAATAGTCATCAAAACATTTCGGTGAACCGTGGGTATCAAGATCACTTCCGGAGATCTTTATCAACCAGGGACGTATCCGCGACGTGAACGACGGTGATTCACGGAATTGATTGCGAGTGATCGAGGGATGATTCGAGATGAATTAGAGGCGAACCCGGTCATCCGCGAGCGGAATCCTTTTGCGGAAACCTTCGATCGCGTCCGGTCGCTTTTTAATAGGAATGAAAATCCTTATGACAGTCGGAGACCTCGAGAGGATCTCAGTCTGATAGTTTGTGCGTTTTTTGCTTTTGATCGTTCGTGATTTCTAACACAGTAATTGTCGTGAACACCCTGTATAAAGTATTCCGCTGCTCCCGGCCATCCTGCTTTTTCTCCTCGCTACTGAAAACACAATGCAGATTTTTTTTTTTTTGCTTTTCCACGGCTTTGGCGTATCCGCGTTGATATCGATCGACACGTTCTATTCGTGTGAAACTTGATGAACTCCGTCGGGCGCATCCGACGCGCCGTATCTACGCACGCAACCACGCACACGACACACCCTCTTCTTTAATCCGCCTCTACCTCGAGCGAGTTCATTCCGGCTGAAACGTTCCGATGGGATTACACCATGGATACGCCACGGTTGACCCCGTTTTCAGCCCATGAGCGCATACTCGTTGACCGCAGGTACCGGAAGTTATCGTACCCATGGTACCTGCCGTCATTGAGGATGCACTCGGCGATTGTCGATTGATGGAACATTAGTCCCTTTGGTTATCTAGCACGAGCCGTTGGGTAGAATAGTGATATAACTTGATAACAGTGAATCATAAATTTTAGGGAACATAACATCTATCTTTATGTTTTGTAAGTTAATATCTCTATAACCATATTATACTTTTTTTTTTTTAATATCCGATTATCCTCCGACATGAAATTTTGGACTAAAAATATCGAGAAATATCGACGAAAGGATGAACAAATTAGAAACATCATTTTCAATTTGTCATGCCCGATGGCTCATACGTCGCAAACGACTATTGGTAATTCCCTCAGTAATTATGGGCAGCAAGGGCACTTTCGCGCAATTTTCCAACCAGAGTAATCATCTCATGTACACACATTCTCTCTCCTCTCTCTCTCTTGCTCTGAAGCGTATTCATTCGCGACATGCGTTTATCGCGAATCGAGCGAACGCCAGATCGCGATTAATCATTATTACTATTACTATTACGATTGCAATCCGTAATTAGTCAATGGGGAGCACATAATTGCACGTTCAACATCGTAATCGGAAAACTTTTCGCGTTCCGTTCCCCATTCATTAACGTATTTATTTTTATCGCGAGATAGTTCTACTAATGCTGTCAATACGGACCGAGTAGTTTCTACATCCGGATGAATCGAACTCGATCGAAGTTAGAATTCAAAATAAAAATTCGCGAAAAAACTCTTCATCTCGAATCGTTAGTATCACGAATTTTAATTTCAGATTGACAACTTGATCGTTACTAATTAAACTCGTTAAATTAAAAGCACCAATTTTGAAACTAATGAAAAAATAGATATAAAAAAATTCTGAACCACAAATTAAGTAATTAGTAAACACATAATGTTGTTTTATAAAAGGTTGAAAAAATAAAAACTATTAACGTCTCGTTCTCCAATCAAGATTCACTATGGACAGATAGATAATCGGTGATATAATCATCATATTACACACACACGCACACATACACACACGTATGTTCTACGAATTAAGCTGCCTTTGCGTGTTGCAGATTGCGCAAGGGTGCAACAGCAAAAAGCCTGGCCGGAACTTGTACGTTTACCGTTTATCCTTGCGAGCGAACTAGCGGCTACGACTATATGTTCATTCGGACCTTCGTATCGCTTATTCGCTATAGACTTGACTTTTCGTTTGTGTGCCGCTTGTGTACAATCGAACTCGTGCGATTGATTCAGTTTGAGGAACAATCCGACGATATCGGGCTCTGTGTCGGAATATATCGTTTTTCCAGAATGACAATGTGAGTTTCATCAACGTCTGAGGGTAATTCAATCGCATACGCGAGCACGAGCGTTCCTTGTGTGATAACGTACTCCAAGTTGTGGCCATAGCTTTCATAAAGAAGAAAGGTGAAACGATTTTTCAAAGATAGACGAGTGAGAGAAATAAAAATTATTTTAAATTAAAATAATAACACTTAACAATAAAACAAACAAAGCGCCAAAGTAATAAAATACAACCCACCAACGAAACACACTCTAGTCCGGGGATAGAAATAAAAACACAATTGTAAACGTTCCGTTACCTGATCATTTTATTGTTCTTAACAGACGTCGATGAAATTCGCACAGGACTAATTTGCGTTCTCTTACTTAGATTCAGTCTTCACAGACCACTGCGTTTGCCGTATTAATTCGTGACTACATTAATACAAAATATATTTTATTATAATTTATGTAGGTAATTAATAATAATAATATTTATAGCTTCTTTTACGCTGGTGGCCACGAAGAACCCGGCGTCTGTCTCGTTTTCCGTTCGGTTTTTCGGATTATAAGGTGAAAGAGGAGGAAGCGGGATACCGCGGTGTCGACCTGAAGAATCAAGATTGATTAACCGCTATCAAAATTGATTTTCAAACAACCGACGAGCCACGGGTAGACGGGAATAGTAGGGACAGGAAAACTCGGGAGGAGACGCGGGATTTTGGCCTAAATAGACATATTTACACGAAAGGCCGAAAGGACAATTTCTTTTTTTGCGCGCGATAAGCGTATTCCGAGAGGTAATTTCGTTGATTTCGACTTTAACTTAAATTTCGTAAGAAGTAGGGAACTTTACGCAAACGGGTCGGGGATGAACGCCGCGTTTGTGGACCACCCTTCCTACAGAAGATTGTTTTTTCATACCCATTCACGAAGAATTTGTTATCCTAATATTTAGTTCTATAAAGCGCTACTATTCTAAAATTTAATGCAATTTGTGTCCATGTGTTTCGTGTATGTGTATGTGTGTGTGTGAATGTGTTTTCTTGTGTTGTCCGTTGTGTACGTGTTATTTATCTGTGTAAGATCTGCACTTCTTCGAATTAAAAAATTACCACTTCAAGACATGACGCGTAGGCGCTACGTTTCGACGTTAAATAAATATATAATCAATGAAAAAATATATCATTAAAAAGTAGGTACAAATAGGGGGCAGGGGGTTTGGTATTGTTCCTTCGACGAATCATAATACATTGCGTAAATAATTTTCTCTCCTGTGTCCATACCCTGCACACTCCACCATCTCCCGTCAATCCGTCTTCGTCTTCTATGACTTTCGCATTATTATTCGAAAAACATTACGTTAGAAACTTCCATATTATAAATCTAGAATGCACGACAACGTTCGCACCTGGTGATGCTGCACCCACGAACTTCGCACTATCGATTCTTTCCAATCGATAGTATATAATATATATCCCGAATATAAAATTAAATTGTACAATTTAGAACATGCATATACATATTATGTATATATATCTGTTTTATATTTAAATATACTTTTTTCTTTTTGTTTTACCACCTGATCAACTTCGTTCTCAACTTCTTCCTTATTCGTCTCCTCGCACATATACATACATTTCTTCTACCAAAACCTTTCTCACTCATTCTCTTTCGTTCTCTTATTTCAATGTTACGCGTTCCTAGCACAGTTTTATAATAATTATAATTGAACCTCATCTTCGAATTCGTATTAACCAACAAATGCCTCACGTAACTGAAACATCTGTAAAATATGAGATCATATCTGCCAAGGGACACGCTTTCACATTTTTCGGCGCGCGTTACAATACCACGAGAATCCGCGAGCGTGTTCCTCGGCCCCCGACGTAGGCGCGCGTCGAGGATCCTTATACTAATTAATTTTATTTCTTAGATTCATTTATGTAATGGGCTCTTCGTCCCGCAGCGAAAATTCGCGTTTCTGAGCCGCAATAAAAATTTTGCGAAAAACAAAATGCGAGACTCACTCTCGATACTTCTACGAGAAACCTATATTCTATTTCCGTTGCCCCTGTCCCATCGAAAAAACCGTCTCGCTAATTTTGAACATCTCGGACTCGGAAATAATCGTGAACCTCGATATTTATCGTTTCCAAGTGATTCTGCTTGAAACAGTCTTACAACTAATGAACGGAACACGCGGACGCTTCGTGCACTCTCTCCTCTCTCTCTTGATTTGGTCGATTCTCTCGTCATTTGAACCCGTCGTCATTGTTGTCAGGCGACAAAGTCATATGGTAGCTAATCGCGCTATTGACTCTGTCGCGCATTCTCTTCGGAGAAACGACTAAACAGAAGAGATGTTTGGTACGCGCGACGCGCGCCAGAAAGGAAAACGAGGAAGTAAAAAGGATAAGGGAGGAAGGAGACCACACGACAATTTCTCTCTTTCTTTTCCATATATACACGCACATTTATACAGACACATACGTACAACAACACACACACATCCAAGCAGAAAAGCCAAATTCTGTTTGTATTTGTCTTGTATTACTGACTCGTACGATACAGTTATACGACTATATCGTACTTTACGACAGGCTACTGTCTAGCTCTTTTTTTCTCCTCAGTTTCTCTCGCAAGCATACTATGATACAACACGCATCACCCACCATACATGCGCGCACAATTGCGCTTTTCCTTTCTTCTCACGAAATAACTTCGCGAATGGCGATGTCGCCGCGCGCGGTTAGTAATCTTCTAGTCGTACGCGCCATGCTTGTACGAACGTGAAAATATAGAAAATGAAAAGAAAAGAAGAAAAAAGACGAAACAAATACGCGATGCCTCTTTGATCGTCTAGACACGTTTGTTTAATCGCTGGGACTTTTAGGTGAAAGGAAAATAAAGGGAAAGGAGAGGAAGGTGTTTGGAAAGGTCTAGACGATAAGATGGATCCTTATACGACGACTAACACAGTACGATTAAAAACATCAAAGAGGTTTCGTTTCCGCGTGAGGATCGCTGTCGGCGGACACCGACGCCGCGTTACTATGGACATTATTCGCGTGAGTAGAACAACAGAACAAACGTGAAGAATTGAAACGAATAATTTCTCGTACGACAGCGATCCTGCGGTTCCTTCCCGTGGTTATCGTATCTTTCCTCATTATTGCGTGCCTCGCGCCCAAAAATTGGTCGTTCTGTTGCACGGGTCAGCCGACCCAGTGACGTCACACACACATGCTACGTTATTAGAACGAGTTGCGATTCGAGGATAACTCAATGATGGATGATGCTCAAGCCGTGCCGCTTGTCCTCTTTCGCGCTCATCGTTCTATTTCTTTCTTTCTTTCTCTTTCTCTCATTAACGAAACAGCCATACATCTTCGCGTCCGCTTGAACATCATCCTGTTACTTTTGCTACTGCCGTTACTGATCGCGCTACAAATCCCACTTGTTGTAACTGCAAAAACACAGGTTCCAGCAACCCGATCGTGTCGTGTGGACGTCGTCACGATTCCCGTTGCCACCGCCGTTGCTGTTGTTGTTCCCCAGACGATTGTTGTTACTGTTGTTACGGTGCACCATCACAATGTTGTCGGTGATGGTGGCGGGGTCGAGGGGCCCGTTGGTAGTGGCGCAAACGGTAAGTAGGCGATCATCGTCGACAACACAAGCGGGTCGCCGACTGTCCTATACTCAAATGCTGCTCGGATTACCGCTTGGCTCTGCGGCCTTGTCGATGCTGTTGATCCGCTGGCTACTGCTCTCAGGCGGCGACGGCGATGCCCCGCCGTCCTCCGGTTTGTGCAGCGGCGGTTTTACCCCATTCTGCACGTAGTGAGTGAGCCGGGTAGGCAGCGAGCCTGCATTCAGCTGATAGAACTCAACCAATTGCAGCAGATCATAGAACTTGGTCGTTCCCTTATCGAGAGTATACAGCCAGCAATTGCGGCGCTCATCAAAGATCTGAAAAAAATAATTTGGATGAAGAAACATTCTGTCTATATAATATCGAATACATACGCAGCGTTTAATGCAAAATATTCGTGAGATATCGTAAAGTTGTGTGAAAGACCGTAGATCGAATGTAATAATTCAGTGCGAAGAAACGCACATACTTTTTCATACGACAAAAATAAAGAATAATTGAGCCGTTTATTTTGAAAGTGACCTAAGTCACTTTAAAAAAAAAAAATGTTGTTTATGACAGCTAATTTCAAGTTGTACACGCTACTACAAAGGTCAACAACAAAACATTGAAAAATGGACTTAGGCCACTTTCAAAATAAACGGCTCAATTAGGAGATTAAAACTAACTAAAAAAATTCTATTATCGAATCCCTATAAAATCAATTTACTGCGAGTTTAGGCAACATTAATATATGGCTGATATTAAAATAAAAACAGAATTTTTGATATCGGTTTATCCAATGAAATTAACTCGGACGGTAAAAGATTAAAATCCTCTTTTTTTTTAGGAACTTGTTAGTAATTCATTCGCGACGGCTTTAGCTTTAAAGTAAACGACCGGAGAAACTTTTTCGCGTTTAATCGCCGCGAAGTTAACTCGACCGCAAAAAAGATCCTCGACTTGTCGCTAATTATCGATCAGACGTGAATACTTACGGGTTGGATTTGCGCGTGAAAGACCTTGTCGTTGTACTTATAGGTCAGCACGAAGGCCCCAGGATTACTCTTGCTCTCTCTGACCAGAAACACGCTGAAAGTATACATAAAACAGAATATTTAAAAATTCCGAAAGAGACAACAAATGTATAGTTGTTATCGCATTTGAACTTGAGTCAATGTTTTATTTACACATTTGCCATTAAATTTATTTCTCAATTGGATTTAAGTTAATTAAAAATCTGCAATAACAATTCGACGCGATTTAAATAATCGGTGCCCATTGTACAATAATGGCCATGAAGATATATTCATAAAAAATTTACATTGTTTGACGGACACGTACTATCTTTCACTGTAACTTTCAAGTTTTTCTAGGAATATTCAAGTGATATGTATATCGGGGACTGGATAAGAGAAAGGGTTAAGAGAACTACTAAGACAGAGAGACTATACCAATCTGAATACAAGACTAGTTGGGAGATTCAGAAGAGATAGGCTGTGCTTTTTGCATCATGCAGAGAAACCAGCGTGCTACACCGGGTGCTAGATGTTTGATATCGGGGAAGACGGCGAAGCTACGGCTCGTCCAGGCGTATCACGGTATAAATTAGTATGGTCGTAAAAGGCAGCGAGACGAGTGGAGTGGTTTGAAAAAACGGCAGAGGTGAGGGGCGAAGATGGAGGTCAGGGGGATGCAACGACGAGGACAAGACCGACCGGTCGGTCACGAGGCAGATCGGCTGCAGTGAGAAAGAAGGAGAGAGACTCGCGTCGTAAAACGATCGCAACGCGGCCACGCGATCGTAAAACTCCAAGTGGAAGAAGCGGTTCTCGCTTCCTTCCTGGCACTCTCGCATTGAGAAATCCCGTTGCCGCTGTCGCCGAAGAAGAGAGACTTGCGGTCCCTTTCGCGATAAAGTATCATCAAGCACATGCTCACTGCTCTCTTCAATAAATATTTGATACGGTCGTTAATAAATATTATGCAGCAAAATGGTGATACGTTCACAGGAAATTTATTGTCATGTACGTAATTTTGCACACAAAGCGATTCGTTATTTCATAAATAAAAAGATTCCTTATTATTAACAAGCTAATTTTAGTACATAATTACAAAAGTTTGTGTTAATTTAATATAAGATAAATATGGTAGAAAGTAACATAAATATTATGTAATTAACACAAAATTATAACACTTACATAAAATTTGCAAACAAATTGTGAAACATATTTCTTAAATAAAATTGACATTTATATTATCATATAATTAAATTAATACTCATATTTTATTTATTTATCTTAGAATTTACGTTTAAAAATTTACGTTATTTTTATGTTATTTGTTCACTTACTTATAAATTGTTATTTTAACATAAAAAATACTGAATATCAATTTAACACAAGAATTTTAATAAGGACTGGTTTTAACAAAACACACAATGTTTTTTATTATGTAATTAATTCGTAAATATATTCTGAAGTTCTTACATAAAATAAAAAATATCCATGCACCTATTTTATAGCAAGTAACTTTCTTTTCTATAATCAGTTCCTTTGGTAGAATTTTAAATCTCATTCGTCAGATTTATCTCATCGGTATATTTCCTTGAGATGATGGTATCACATTGTTATTTGCCGTAAGGATGAATTCTTGAAATTAAAAAATCTGAGAATTGTAATGCGAGGTCGCATTTGCGTGACCTATTTTTTAGTATCTTGCCCGGAGATTATTCATGTGTAGTGACGATAACGTTTGCTAATGTCGAGTATCGTCTCTCATCAACCCCGATGCTCGTCCAATGGAATATTCATGCGAGTGAATATTCCACGTCCGCCAGGCAAGCAGATAACACACCGGCGGTGGTGACTCGTAGCCCCGGCTATGGAACGGTAATGTCCAAGAACTATCACGAGTTAGAGGATAACGACGTTACGGTTCCCATATAGTAATACAAAGGAGCCCGATGTCCGTCGCTAGGATATGTCTTCTCTATCTCACGAGTTGCCTGAACTAACTCGCAACATCGAGAGAGACAAATGGCGATTAGTAGACAATGCCCAGGGCGGAATCGATTAGATGGGTTTTTGCATCTAACGACGACGACGATCATGACACAAGACAACGGGAACTCACGATGAGCTCGCGAGTGCCAGGTAGGAAGAGGCTAGGCGGGACTCTCACCGTTTCTCCCCTTCTCTTTTTTCGCTATTGTCAAGATGAAGAGAGAAAGGACGAGGAAGAGAATACGACGGAGGCGGCGAGGCGGGTGTACGATCGAGATTATGCAAATTTATGCAAGGGCCCCCTGAACGAACGTAAAACCCAGAGACAACTACGTGATCCCCGAGCACTCAATTACCCGAGGCTAAGCGCGAGATAGATGGAGAGAGTCGTTAATTAACCATTTATCCGCGATTCCCGGCGCTAGTACGGCGAATAAAAGATGAGATCGAGGAACAAGGAAGAGATAAGAGGAGAGGACGAGCGACAAACCGGAATATCGGCAAAACGCGGCTGCTCGCTCAGGTCGTGACCGCCCGTGAGAGGAAGTTACCGACAGATGATCGACGTATTGGAGACGTGCACCTGATCACTGGACAGAATGTATACTCGTTAGGAAAACGATCAGGGACACATGAGAAAGAAATGTGATACCCAGGTCGTCGGAATCATTAGCGTGCGTCAACGTGAGTCATTTACTTGAGCTCGTAGAATTTTCGAATTTTTCCTTTTCTCTTTCTTTTCTCTTCTCTATTTTCTGTTCTCTATTTTCATTATACTTTGAAACTGTGCTATCATCATAATTTGATAAAGAACATGACACATCTACCTACGTGATTCTGCTCTGTCAAATATCTAACACACTCCGGGGAGCAATGCCCCGTCTCGAGAGTGCCTACACGAATATAATGAAATCTGATTTAAGATATTAATAATTTCCTATCGTTTCAAGGGCGTGTCCACACGTGTAACGCTTGCTAAGATTACCGGGTCAATACGGGTTAAATGCGAGGGTCAATATGGTACGCGATGACGGATTCGACCCAGGACAAAGCGGCGTAGTTGAAGGCGTTGAGAGCAAAAAAAAATAAAAATAAAAATAAAGAAGGAAATGACAAGATGTGAAATGGAGAAAGATTTATTACGCTTTAGAGATGACTTTATTCAAAACATAAGAAACTGCATAGGAAAAGAAATATTTCAAATAGTAAAGCTATATATTTGAACTTTACCTTCGGTTATTTCTTTTCTCTCACATTTCTGTATGAGCATATAATTTATTCTTTTGTACACATAACATTTTCTCTATTTTTTAAGTAATAAAAAAATATTATTCTTATTATTCGAATGTGCTGGTGAAGCATTACCCCGCGTAAGAAAACAGAATCGACGATTGAGTATCGCCATTAAAATTCAAATACGCGGATAGCCACGGGCGAATTAGCAAATAATAAGATACTAAAATAACAAAGAGAGACGAGAAGCAGAGGTGGGCGAAAGAAACGAAGTATGCCCGATAGGAATTCATCGTGATTTACGATCGCTCGTAATAATCGCAAGGATTACGCAAGCGCCAGCCAGGCGTGTCGCCCGCGCCAGCAGCTCCGAGGTCGTAATTCTCAACCGGTTTGAGGCGGACCCTCTCCCGCCTGGATGATGACGGTTATCGTTCCTAGCGTCGATGCGATCGGGATTTTCGGGCAGCATCATTATGATGACGGTACTGCTGTTGTAATCAGCAATAACGCGTTATCAATCGCGAGTGTGAAGACGATCAGGCGAGCAAAAAGCGCAACATAAAACTAGTAACTTCAAAAGCGCAATGAAATTATGATTGAAGGTTCCAGTTAAAGTCTTCGTCAGACATTTAGTATGTAATAAAGACGCGATCATAATTTTTGCATTAATTTCATTTTTAAATAGTTTTTATATATATATATATATATATATATATATATATATATATATATATATATAATAATTTGAATTACTTACTTTGAATTACATATATAACTTTGAATTATATCTTGACAACTTCCATAGGCTAGAACGAAGAATAAAAACTTTGCGATCCATTTAATTCGCTTCGAAATTTAAATCGCGCTTTTCATAAAATTGACTTCAGAAGTTGATTAATCGACAAGATTGAACTTACCCGTCGACGCTGCCGTGATCCCTTATAATAGCTGCCGCGACATCCCTCTTGAGACCGCCGTGGAACCAAGGCTGAAGAACATGTATACCGGCGTCGAGGCCATGCAGCCTCATCATGGCACATCCCGGTGGTGTTCTCGAAAACGGTCGCCATCTCCGCCGCCAAACCATGCCTTCATTTTCGGCTATATCCTTGGCTTCTTTGGGATCCTCGACTATCCTGCCCACGCTACCGGTAAAATCCATCGCCACGCGTGATCGTATCGATTCCTGCAAGAAAAAAGAAAATTTGTTCGTAAATTCATCTTGCATTATACTTTCGATATATAGCTAAAGTTTAATAAAGCCTTTTTCATCACTCGATATAAAATTGTATATCACTTGATATAAATATTTCATTCTCTTATATAGAATATTCAGAAAATTATTATTATATATTATTAGCCACGTATTAGGAAAAATCTTTTATTTGAAGAAAAGAATCGCTGTACTTTCTAAAAAATATAGGATTTAATGCGGCGTTAGTATAATTCTCATTATACGTTAATATTAATATTAACACTAACATGATGTAGATTAATTAAAGTATTTAATATTATGAGTTTTATTTAAATCCACTTCATGGTGTTTATATCAACACCATCATGGTGTGGATTTAAAATCCATGGTGGTAATCATGATAATATTGATATGAACACCAAAGGTTTTAAAGCCACGCCAATTGGTATTAATATTAACAGCTGCAAGATAAGAATTATATAGACACCGCATTGTATTAAATTCACACCTATTTTTTTACAGTATGCGATTTTTTTAGGGGAGTTTATCATTACGTGAACACATAGATATGTTTCCGGTAAACGATGCGACGCACTGAAGTTTCAACGTGCTCAATGATCCCGGGATAAATACGTCCATCTATATCCCAAGTATGAACGTGAGTTTGAACGTTTCGACATTCATCTCTTGGCAAACGGAAGCCCGTCCTTTACGAGCACGATGAAGAGGGGCGAGCCGTTCCGGGCTGCCGCCGAACGCTTTTATTTGGGATTAGAAACGAGGGTGGTTTCCAGTTCGGTAAATAACTCGTCCTGCAAGCGAGAGAAAGAGGAAGGAGAGTGAATTTTCTTCCTGTTTCCATTCCTCTTTCTCTTAGTGATCCACGGAATAAACCGCGCCTCGCGAATCTCCCGTAAAATTATGGCCCGAATGCGATACAGCCGGTAACAATCGCAAACGATAACTCATCACTGCCTCTCCGGCAATAATTTTCTTCACGGACTCCTCTTTCCGCGATTTCACAATCGACAATAAAGAACCACCAATGCCGAAACGAACCTCGATATCGCGCGAGACGATCGCAATAATATCGAGGTAGGACACCTATGAGATTGAAACACCTTTACAATAATAGAATGTGATTGAGATCCCATAGATGAAGATACCCACAATTTCTAGCATTCGGATATGTTACAGAATCAAATCCACATTTCGAAACGATTCTGAAACTGTGGCTTGGGTATCCATGATATCTAATTTCATCACCGATCAAAGCGATAAGATACTCGGACATCTATGTTTCAAAATTTCAGACACAAATTATATCCGGATATCTGAACACGACGTTATATTGAAAGCTCAGTGTGGACGTACCCCGAAGGATAATTTGTGTCGTCGCATAAGCAACCCCTGCTAACCCCCCCCCCCTCCCGCTTTTCAGGTCCTTGATAACGAGCAAAAAGCCGGAGCGCACGTAGTGGATTAGTCGGTCGTTAAAATAAATAGACGCTCGCGGCGCGAGTACGTACGAGGGAGAGAATTACGAGAGAGAGAAAGAGAGAGAGAGAGATATATATATGGGGAGAGAAGGGGTTCGGCGTTCCTCATCAGCCGGAGAATTACCGTAGAGCGAGAACTCGAGGGTGTTTTCAGGAGCCCCCGGAAACCGGGAAAGCCGGTGCGGCCCCGAGCATACGCCCGTAACGTGGCCGGCCGCGATCGATGTTCACCGGCTCTCTCCAGTTCGGCTTGCTCCTTCTCTAAGCCGCTATATGTTCCCTCTTGCTCTTTAGAGAGAGAGAGAGAGGGGGGGAGGGCAGAGAAAGATAGAAGTATCCTCGCGATAGGCTTTCGTCCTGGTGTGGCCTTGACACCGGAGTGACCCGATATACTCCGGCAATTTAGAAACTGTCTTCCGAACACACATAGAAAGGAAACAGACGTATATCTCATATATATAAAGGAGATATCATTCTTTCGTTGTTATTCCTTACAATTTAACAATGATATGATTACTCTCTAAATCTGAACCAGTGGATAATCACTGATATCAGTGCCAAGTATGTCACTGGTAATCAGTGAGTGAAATGTGAAATTCCTAACCTAACTAACCTTTATTATGTGATCTAATTAATCTTATTTTAGTGCATAAATTCAATGAATATAGTATTAGAAGATTGAAATTAACATATAAATATCAATATTTTAGGATATATAATGCTCAAACCTTCTTTCTTTTTTTATTGAAGTTCACTGATTATCCAGTGCCAAATACGTCACTGGGTGATTAAGTGAATAGTGGCATACTTGGCACTGATATCAGTGATTATTCACTGATTCAGATTTAGAGAGTATACATTACATACATATATAATTATACAATTATATAATACACGGGGGAGGGGAGGTAGCTTTCTGAGTAAAACATGTAAAAATGTAAATATATATATATATATTTTTTTAATTTACTTTTTAGGAATTTTTCACGAGTTCTTCAAGAAGAAATACATCCTAGAATATATTATCACTATTCTATTCGTCCTCTCTTGTTCGCTATTGACATTAAAGAGTAATAAAGGAGGTATAAGGTGTTGAGTATCGCAAGTACAACAGGAAGTTAATAACGACGTGTACCATCAGGAAGACTTCCGTAAGTAAATTGATTTTTAAGTGGTACATTGTGCGATATCAGGACGAACGTTTAGCGGCATTAAAGCTTGGTGGCGTAGCCCAGACCAATCTAAGTCCGGCCACGTGTATATAATATTTTAAGGGATGTCCGACGAGCGAAGTTAACGCGGCGAGCTTCCCGGGTGAGTTTACTACTTCCGGCCTAACTTCGTCGGTTTAAACACATAGAGAAGAGCGAGAGAGAAAGGAAGAGAGAGGAAGAGAGAGAGAGATAGAGCTTTCCCTAGCTCGGCTAGGCTTGCTCGTCGTGTTTTATCGTTATTACAAGCTCCTTCGAAGTTTACGACTCTGTGCAGCGGATAACGTTCTCCGCCCTTCCTCTCTCTTATCCTCGTCAACCCCCTCGTTGTTCGATCAACCTTTACACGAAGCGCTAGCCGTCGGAAATGACGCGTCCTGGTTGCACGACCACCCCGCCCGTTTCGTGGCACATCTCCCTTCCAAGAGGAATTTTGTTACATCGCTTATGGAAACTCGACGTCACCTTGAAAAGACATAAAAATCGTCGCTGCGTCGACAAGCTATATTACAAGCTCTTCACATAACTAAACTTCGACGTCAAACATCTTGACAGTTAAATCTCGAATTTGCATTCCCGTTGGAACGTACTTAAAAGTAAGTGAGAAATAAAGATCGTTATCTATATATATTTTCCATCCTCGACTCCAACATAAAAAATCGTAAAACACACCATAATGTTATGGAAAAAGAAAAAAAACATAATAATTCTTTTTAAATAATTTTATGTTGGAGAAAAAAATATAAACGTTCATTGTAATGTAAAGCAATTTGGTAAATTTTAACAAAATAATAAAAAAATTATTATAGTATTATTTAATATTGTAATTATCGTAATAAAATTGATAATTAACGCGATTGAGATAAATTCTTCATAAAAATATCAAATACCGGATTTCACATCAAATCGTTTCACGATGTATCTAAAATTATTCCTAAAATACTCGGAATCACCACTTTCCTCCCATAACGAAATTTCGCTGACTCGCGACACCGGCGCACCGTTTCGCGCCTGAATACTCTTACCTGGAGTACCACTCCGTCGTATTATTTCGCTTTATGACATTTTAAATCGTCGCCAATATGACGGTGATATTACGAAATTGTGAGGCGATATTGCACGTCGCGACGTGCGTGTATGCGCTCCTCAGAATATCACGTGTTCCACCAGCGCGAGCGATTGGATTTTCCTTCGCTCCCCCATCGCTCCTTCATTCCTCGTCGCTGTTTCGGTAGCATTTCGCGGTTCCCTCGTTATCGTGGATGCCTAACGTTGTTTTACGACCGATAAAAGCATCCCTTCCTCGTCTGCTGGTAGCGTATCATTTTACCCGGAGCTGCGTGGCTGTTAGCTGCTTCATAATGTCTACCAAGCGGATATGAAGAATCGGTCTTTGCAAATGAGATAAATCTCCTCTCTAGTTAATTATCCTCGCAATTTCGCAATTCGTCGCGCACGTCTTATGTAAGTCAGTGAGAATAAAACGACGTGTACATCACGCGAGATATCACAATTATTTTGCGCAATATAAAATTTTTAATTTGCCACAATATCAAGAAAATGCTACAGAAAATAATGGAACTTTATATACGTCAAAAGACTTTAAATACATATTTTCTAAATTATTCTTTTTGCTTTTCAATCATCATTTTGATTTCCTATCTTGTTTAAATAAAATACGACACTAATTATATCGATATACAACATGTATCTAAATACTCGTATTTTGCTCTAATATTTTAGAGGCTTTATTACAGGACGGCCTGGCAGTCGCCGATTAGAGACGCATCGACCGATCAATAGTCGTTCTTTCCGCGTGTTACTGGGTTACTATCTCGCCTCGTGACTATGCGATAGCGTAATGCGCCGAGAGCGTAGTCGTAGATGAGAGGCAAGTGCTCATAAAATCGAGTTTTTAACGCGCTATTTAATTACAGTGCAATTAAAGCTCTATAATAAGATATTAAAATATTTTTTCAATTCAAAGATTAATTCGTCGAATTCAAGAAACCTGATCAATTAAAATTATAGTCGGTTATGTTAGAGAAGCACACGATAGATTACCAATAAAATTGTGCATAATGTTAATTAACATCGCGGCCTTTGCTCGCAGTAAAGACAAGGGAGGGATAAGTCCTTCTCTGCATGTCGAAGCTTTCACAAATGCGCGGTGTCTCGCAAGCGTCGCGAGCTCGTACGAGTCTTGCATAGTAACGTGGAGGGTCAACCACGGTCGAAGATAAAGCCGTCAAAGAAGAAGGGGAAGAAGTGGGAGATTGTA